AGGCATGTTGTCGCTGATGGGTCTGCAGCTTTGCTTGGTCAGTGAATGTTTCGGTATACACTGCAACACCCTTTTTATCACTGAGCGCTCCAGTCCAGTTAAGCACACACCCATGAGACATGCTGTAATTCTCCAAAGGGCTTGTCTTTGTGCTTTGGCTTTAACTTCTAGTGTAAGGTTGATGTTCTTTACTGCCTGGGTGCTTGCCGTTTGAAGAAATGAATGGACAGCATTGAGGGTTCTGTGTTGTTTGGAGCAGGGGTGGTTCGGTTAAACCACCAGTATATCTGCTCAGAGTAACATATAAAGGTCATAGCTACAGCTCCACAGCCAGAGCTTTAATACTACCATTCTGGACTTAAGGGACATCCACACTGATTAGTTTACCTCAACAGGATGAGATATGGATGTAATTTTCTAATGTGCATTAGAGTATGTATAGTGACTGTCAATGCGGGAGAAAGAGAATTTATCAATATCTCTACTTGTATTCAGAGCTGGAAGTGCGGGTACAAGCATGTGTTTTCCACATACATCTGGATAAGCTGACCTGTGTTATAATTCACATAGCCTCATTAAAATGCTGAAAGTTTTGGCTGTAAAGTCACTGTGACCCCTCCCAGTCTGCTATAAGTGCCTGGACCAGCATACTGAGCAGAGCTCTGATTGATCTGCCTAAGTAGGTGCAATTAATAGGAACGTTCTTCACACACACATACACACAGGCACGCATGTATGGTCATCAGATAATATCGTGGAGCGAATTCATGAACTGAAAGACCCTTTAAAGCGTTTGATCCTAATGTGCAGCTTGTGACCTTTGGCACCCAAATTCCGCCCATTTACTGATTATGCATAGAGCAATTTGACACTTTGGCCCAAGAACAGAAAACAGATGACATGAAACGATGAATATAAAGCAGGAAAAAAAAGATCAATTTCACTGGAAAAGGTTGCTGAATTGCCTGACGACGATGACCTTTGTTCGAAACCTTGAAAGGCATTAACAATTTAATAAGTCACATCACATCAATATGGAAAGCACCTCTGTGCTAGTGTTTTGTAATTGGATTTGACTGGACCTGCATATTCCTAAGACCTTCAGTCATAATATTATCGTGAAAATACAAGTCTAAGCAACAGCATTATGCATACGCACCTTTAGGTACCTTTTAATTGGATGTCGCCTATAGATTTAAACTGTAACTTATCAGGCTTTGTAGAAATGTTGATAGCATTCATTTAAAAGATAGCAACAAAAAAAACTGTTTATCAGGAGCAGCTGTGTCTCAGTGTAATGTTCGAAGGTCAGTCCCCACAGTTACCACAGTTAAGTGCAAGACATACCCCCCTCTGCCTCCCCCTGGATTCCTCTATCACCTTGCCTTGCTCCAAAATACATTTCTTGGACAATCATCAAAAGAGTGACTCAGACTCAGGAGCTTTGGGGCCTGGAAATGGAAACTTATTTAGTACTGCACTCTCAGGACAATTCCACATAAAATCTAATATGGCCGGACAGAGAGCAAGAGGTTGAAGGGAAAAGGAGCTATAGAAGTAGCCACATTACCCTTGAGGAGACCTCCATGAGGACTTTTTGCGTTGCCTTCTACTTTCAACTTAAAACATTAAGTTTTTGAACAAAGCAAAGGGCATGCAGTGAAAGGCAGGTGTGACTTTGGGTTGAAATGATTTTTATGGTCAACGCCTCATTCTGTATTTATCGATTTCTTAATCTCTCAGTCTATCCAGCTATCCTCTGCTAGAGCTTCTTTTTTTTTTTACTTTAGTCTAAGGTTTAGTGTTGCATTCTAATGAAACTAAACCTGATTGCATTTAAATCTAAAGGGAGTTTTGGATAAGTGCAGTGACCTCCAACACAATAGAGGATTTACATTAAATCTGGCATTTGAAGGCCTTTGGGCATAAATGTGAGTTGGGTGTTCATTTCCTGTAATTCACTGATATGAAATTTAGTACTCACAATGTTTCAGTGCCCAGCCTGGTGCTAAGAGCTGGTGGTGATTTGGATCTTCTGTGTTCTTCTTAGTGGTGTAGCTTTAAACGCACATGTGACAGACACAACATAAGGCCCCTCAATTCGTTATCCGTCCTCTTCTCTTCAAGCCTCCCCAAAGGCATGCAGACACACTATCGGTGTCCCACTTGTTGTTGTAAATTATGGCCAGACTCAAAAAACACAGCTTTAGGGTTGAGGCTCATTTTGATTGCTCTATGCAGACTTTAGACCACAGTGTAAGGAGGGAAAAGGAATAACCCACTGAGATAATCCCAGTGTGTATAATACTGGACGGGGCATGTGATTGAATTGCTTTGTGGCATATCCATGGATTTAACTTTGTTTAGGCATTAAATATGACCCCCTCTGATATAATTTTTTTTTTTCTTATTAACGTGTTAATATGGTGTCTTTTATAAGCTAAAATACACATTATGAGTACGAGTATTATGAATATTTCTGAAACTGCAATGTAGGAAGAACAATGCATTCTGGCAGCTAGTGTTTCCATACATAATAAGCCTAACAAATCAATCCTATCAACTTGCATGGTGTGGCAAACCTGTCAGAGCTAGAACTTGGAAACATTTTGTAGCATAAGCAAAACACTTGAGCTACTTGTTAACATATTCAGGCTCAGGTTTTTGCCCTATGTGCGCTCCGTTTCTTTCAGCTAGTTGTGTGAGTCTTTACTGGAATGTTGGTGGTACTCAAAATGAGCGTTTTATTTAGTTTTGCAACACAGGTGGAATGCATTGCTGTTCTAAGAAGTGGTATTGCCAACACAACTGAGTTGCAGTCATAAGTGATGCTTTCAAAAACCTTTTGTATTTAAGTAGTTGATATTGAACTGAATGCCATGTTTCAAGAAGCTGTATGAGATCATCCAATAGCTGATCCCATTGCAGTATGGTATCTAGTAGTGGTGGGAGCAAAACATATAATACAGCATAGGATCACAATATTTTCTGTGGCAGTATTGTGTCAATACAAGGACACCAAATGTTGATATTTTATTAATTAGAATAAAATACTAGAGCGGTCATGTCATGCGCCATCATCCTGAGATAATGTTAGCCAAGCAAAGTTACATTTAATCGACTCTGCCAAAAAAACATCCAACACTGGACATGCTTAGCTTGACAAATCTAAAATACGTGTTGCACGCTCACAACCACAAGACAATTGATTGGACGCAACCTTTCTGAAAACAGTTGCAGTCTAACTTGGATACTGACTACAGTCACTGTCAGAGAGACTGTGGAAGGTCTGCAAATAACAGATTTATAAATGCAAACAGACTGCCAACAACGTCTTTCTAAATGAGTCTTTGTCGATGAGCCCGTTCAAAAAGACTTTACTCAGCTGGTCTAATGCTGATTGTATTCTGGTTATAGTCTTATAGAACAGAAACGTTGATAAGTGCAGATGTAGTAGTTAAATGTGAATTCCTATCTATGTCGACAGCAACAGATGTGTGATTTTCGATGATTTATTGCAGTTAATTTGCTGTATGTTCAGAAACACATTGCATGCAATTGCCAACTTGACTCCATTCTATTGCAAAGATATTAACAGCAGACTGACTGTGGTTTATGACAGCATTTATGTCATTTTTTGTGGCAGTTTTAATGTGCTTGACGTGAGAAAAATTAATCTTACTGGAAAAAATGAAGACTGACAAAGTTTAACTTTGAGGACATAACTGGCAGTTGAAAAAGGTAATAAATCACAACATATTGTATTGCAATGCTCATCATATCATAAAATATTTAAAAAAAAATCATGAGTGAAGTATTGTGATAATATTGTGTAGCGGTGTTTTAGTGATTCCCACCCATGGTATCTAGTTTAATTGCTCAGTTTAAATTTAGATGTAATTTTCTTTTACTTTCTTAAGTGTTGTATCCAGTTCTATTAATGGGAGAGATAGTTGGAGGTGCACCTTAGAATGTATCTACTCTAAACACTTATCTAGGTTGATCAGATGAGCTGGACATCACTGGGAAAAATATACAGTTTACAGTAGGGAAATTGGAAATTATGCAAACCCTTGTTCAAATGTATCCCTCACTGTGTCGGTGCTCATACTGTATGTGTGTAGGAACGCTCGTGAATGCTTATGTTAGTGTGTCTCAAGATAAAACATGATGTGCCCCCAAAAGGCTTTGGCTTTAACAACCGAAGAAGTGCTTGGTAAGCAACAGCCCTCATTAGCATACAGATCAGGAGGCACTATAAGTGTTTGTGAAGTGTAATTCACTATTGCTGTTCCAAAGCAATAAAGGGAGTGCATTTTCTCCACTAATGTCAGTGCTGGACTTTCCCGGTCCCATTTTTTTCTTACCAGGCTACAGTTTTGTTAAGAGTTGTTAACATTACAGCTCCCCTTAAGTACCAGACCCTCCCTTTGATAGATCTTAAAGGTGTAACATTTTAACATCTGCAAGTCATGGCCAAATTAATTTTGAAACATTGCTATAATTACCATAAACAAACAAGACAATCACCGGGAAGACTGACAGGTTCTGCCAGCCTCTGCGATATATTGTCTGCCATTGAGCTTGACTTTATTGGTAACATGATGGATTACATAATTGCGTTATGCCACAAAACAGAAGCACACTGTAGGCAGAGACACTTTCTTGCACTGGCAGATATAACTGGATTTAGTTTGTATGTATGTGCGCTTGGTTGGCAGGGATTTATATGACAAAATAAATAGAAGAAGCTTAAAATATCTGAAGTTGAGAAGAGATTCATTAGTTGAATTTGTATGCTGAAGAAGTATATCAGTGGCGATGCAGGTGCTGGAGTTACTGGTTCATACCTTGCCTTTAACCTAGAATAAATTCAGTGTGCAGGAGTGTTGGGATATGCAATGCATCACCTCTGTTTCCAATCTGCTACATTTGCATTTGCATGTTAAATCACTGTGGTAATACTCCAAAAGTCTATAGCTCTCCGTCTCTACCTACAGGTTTACTGGCCCGAACCTTCCTTCGCCCATCATTAGCAGCAAGAACTGGCTTCGACTGCACTTTACTTCAGATGGCAACCATAAGTTAAGAGGTTTCAGTGCCCAATACCAAGGTAAGACCATGAGAACGGTTGATATTTTAAAGAGGGAGGCTCATTAGAGATTTTACTGAATAAATTATAGACCACTTTTTGTCTTCAGTTCAGGTTTGCTAAAAAGGCCTTTTGTCAGTAGCTACATGTCTGTGATATTTGATTTTAATATTTTAATATACTTCCTTGGTCATCCCAACAAAGAATCCTTTATATTTTTGGAGACCCAGAAAAATGACTGGTTAGTGCCATAATCAGAATATAGTTGTGAACTTCTGCCATTTTGGACACTTCATGAGCTTCTTTCTTATTTTATTCTATTCTTGGAGCCCATTTGCCACAGAATAGTTGTGAATGCTTTCAGGAAAAAGGAAAAAAAAGATGATTACAGGAGCATTATTATGAGTGCCACATAATTGCACAGAAGCATACATGTGGACACGCGCACACACACACAAACACAAAATCCTTTTTGTACCAGGCATCCATTTCCTGTTCCATTACTCTTAGAGGTTCAGGGATCACCTTTGAGAAGGGATGAGCAGGGGAAAAGGATTAGCTCGTCCACCAAAAGAGGTGATCTCTAAGGGTCTCACCTCCAGCCATCTGCTGGAAATATCAGCGATGGAGGAAAATAAGATAGAAGAAGAGACAAATGAGGGAAGAATTTGGAAAAGGGAGCCAGTGGGATTACAGGTTCAGTGGTAGGTAAATATGTTTCGAAGATCGGAATGAAGCGTTAAACTAATACTTTAATTAGATTAAACACTCACGCCACTGTTCCCATCCCTCAATGCATTATTCTCATCACGACAACTCCCATGATTCCACAGCAGTGGCTTGTTGGAGTGATAAAGTCACTGAATATCTTAATTGCCACCTTATTACCTTATTTATTTTTCTGTGTCCTTTATTTATATGTAGGAAAATAATCAGCCACACCACATCAAACCCAGCATCTAATAGCTTAGTCTTCTTACTTGAAATATGCTTATACCTTTTTCTTTCTTCCTCTTTAATCAGTTTAACAAATCAAATAAAAGAGTTTTTTTATCCGACTTTTTTCCCCTTCTAGACACATAATAAACAGAGTTTTTAACACATGACTCAGATAAGCTTTGAAGTAAACTGCAGCTGAATCAGAGGAAGGGATGAAAACACATTTGGAAAACAAGTGAAGTTCCATTGTCAGGGACCGTCAAACTAATTAAACAGGACGACTGTGAAGGGGAGCTCAGATAATACTGATAGTGTTTTTGAAAATTGGCGAATAAATATGCATTTAAACAAGTCTCCTGTTTCTGATTACCTTTTTTTAATCTCCGTTGCAATTATAACCAAACTCAAACCATTTAAACTTCATCTTTTTATTGTATAGAAAAGAGTGTTTTCGGATGCCCTTGCATCCTGTTAATGAAACAGTGATGTTATGCTAAGAGCCCTTTTTTCCACAATCAAAAATATGGTGATTGTCAAAATCGCTTCCTGAATATAAACCACTGTAAGAGGTGTGACTCTTATAAATGAACATAAATCTGTGTTCTAGGTCTTTTCAGTTTTATTGTCATTTTTAGATTTAAAAGTTTATCATCCATCCATCCATTTTTTCTGATTATCATCTTGTGCTGTGGGAGCTTTAACGTTTCTCAGCTGACACAGTGCAAAATGTGGTGTACCTTGAACAGGCTGCCAGTCTATCACAGGGCTGACACAGCGAGACAACCAAACACGCTCTCTCACATCCACTTCCACACCATTTCCCACCAAGTCCAATTTAGACTCACCGATCAACCTAACAAGCATGTCTTAGGGGTGCGGGAGAACGGCGGAGCAGCTGGAGAAGCTCACATGGGCACGGGGAGAACATGAAACTCCAAAGGGAAAAGACAACCAGGAGCCTTAAAACCAGAACCTTCTTTCTCTAACATTACAGTGTTTCATTAGTTTCACAATTGATTTGCAAATGTTGATTTGAACATAATTGCAGTGCCTTTTTTGAACTACGTGGGCATCACTTTCTGCCATGTCCCTCCAATCTCTCTTCTATGTTTTCTCTACAGTGAAGAAGATGACTGAACTTAAGTCCCGGGGTGTGAAGATGTTGCCCAGCAAAGACAACCACCACAAGATATCAGTGTGTAAGTTACAGCCCTTAATTTTCCCTTTTTTCTACAACCATAAGATATTTTTTTGCATATTTGGTCACTGTGTTAAGTCCCCCGGACAAGTATTCAGTATATGCAAGTGTGGAATTAGGTCTATCTATCATAAAGGACATCTATAATTTGGCATCGGAAAGATTAAGATGAAGAAGGGTGAGCTTATAGCAATATTTCAAAGTCTTTATGATTGTAAAGTCAGGGCTGGCAGTGCTCCCTCGCCACCAGCACCACTGTTTTCTCACATCACTGCATTATTACGACATTATGAAAACATTCACACGCACATGGGCATGCTGAACATAACCTGCATTGTTATTGATGATCAGGTAGGCATTAACAGTAACTGACAGCTTAACTAAAGGCTGACACAGCACACAGAAAAAAAGTTTCCCTGTTAGTTTATGCAAAAGGTAGTCTACAGTAGTCAACAACTACCAGGCTGTTTGTTGTACTTGGCTATCTGACACAGGGAATACTTGATAAATATAACAATAAAACAATTAGTCAACATTAGTCTTTTGTTTTTCCCAGTACAAAGGTAAAAATATAGGCCTGCAATCTTTTAGCACATATTCCCTGATTGAAATGCTTAGGGAGTTTTGTGCCTACGCCCAGTCATTAAAATTAGGAACAAAGCACAGCCTTGCAAGCCTGTGCTTTGAATACAGGCATCAATGGATACCTAACTGCCTTCAACTTCATTACTACCCCAGGTTCCACTCATCAAACATTTTTTAAAACTGTAATTAAATGTTACAGAAAAAGTGGAATAGATGTAAGTTTTTACTGCCCCCTCCGTGTCAGAGTTTGACCTGAAACTTATTAAAAATGTCACCTAATACTGCTCGAGGTCTTGTCCATAAAGCGCGATTTTATATCCGACTGTTTTTGGCCTGGAGTGCTATAGAGAGCTGTGCTGTTCATCTTTTTTAGTTGTAGTGGAGATGAAGACGGGGTTGAATAAGTTACTCCGTCATATAATTCTGAAACCGAAAACCGTAAAGAAAATCGAATGATGCACTAAAGGAGACTATTTGGGGTTTGATGTTTGCAAATTCAGGGGTACATTGTAGAGCTTTTTATTGATGTCAGCTCAGGCCACAGTTAAAGAATGACACATGCACTGTAACCAAAACCAGATGGAAAAAGTAGGTATGCTAACTGGTGTTTAAATGTGTAATCGTTTGTTCATAGTAAATTCTCTTACAAACACAAAAATAGGATTGTCATTCATTTTACGTCATGTTCGAGATAAAAGGCTCGGAAGGCTGTTATATATTAACGCTGTTTGTGGAAAGAGAAATCTATTGGCTGCCTGCTGTGAAAGCTGACAAGTTATATGTATGACCAGTTGTTGCTGCAAAAGTGTCCTCAGGAGTTACTGGACTCCATCTGTCCAGGAAAGAAGAGTACAGAGCAACATTTTATCATCTCCAAATTGGGCTAGCCACACTCTCTTCTCTCTTCTGCACTAAGATGTTTTGTTCAAGTTGGAATTTGTTTGTTAAGTTTTCAGGTTCTGCCTCGCCGCCTCTTTTCTTAGGCCTATATGCTAAATGTCTTTTGAATTAATGTAAATAACCGCTAAACATTCCTCCCAGAAGATGAATGGATATGCTGTGGATATGTTGACACAGCTGTGCAGTCCACTATGTTCAAACGCCTTACGCCCATTTGTAACCTTTAGATGAAATTCTCTCGAGTATTTTTTATCATTCACTAACGGGCTAGTACTACGTATTAGTTTAGTAAGTAAGTTATTGCTGTTCATAATTACTTACTTGTATAAACTGTTAGGTGTTACCAAAGAAATTTGTAAGGATGAGAAAGTCACAAGCCACCCTAATAGTTCAATTCCATATTTTGCTTCCAAGGATCCAGACTTGTAATTTGGTCTTGAAAAAAAAAAAACTTTCCAGGCTTTCTGAAGCTCTTTTAAGTTTTTTCTTTGAACATTGGCTGCTTTTTAACTCATTTTCTGTGTTATCTTTATGAAGTCATCTCACATTGGCCTATGAATCGTTCAAGCACCTAACTCATGGGATCAAGCACCGTTGTCTACAGACGATCAAAGTTGAATCACGATAAGCTGAAATATGCCAAAGATAACCCGATTTTGTCAGGTATTAAATTATATTTTTGCACCAGCAAGGAGATGCATATAGTGCCTTCAGCTGAAACCTTTGCACATCTAAGCAGATTAGCGCGGTTAGCTCATTAACATGTTAGCGCCGTGCCGCCCCACACACGGGGCGATCCGCGTTAACTTGCTAACGGAGATTTGCAGCATTGATGCGGTTATGGCAGTAAAGTCATTTTAACAAGTTTAACGCTGACAGCACTACTTTTAATATAATAACATGTAGGAATTTCTTGACAAGTGTCCATCAGCTCAGCTACAAGCTAACACAAGTGACTCAAGGTGTAATACCAGAAAGCATATAGACACTCGGAATATGCTGCTTGAATTCCATCAGTGGCAAACCTACTTTATTGTTTCATCAGCTAATCTGTCAGGCTTTTGAGAAGACGCCTGTCTCACATCATCAAAGTCATTTTAAGGTTTCTCTCTTGCACTACACTTTGGCCAGAAAAACAAGAGTGACTGCTGACTGTCAAAAGTGCCATAGCCAAAAAAGACACACAGTCTGTGCTAGAGATGTACTTCACATTGCAAATGGAGAGCAGTAACTGCATTGGCCATGTTTTCTTTGCCATTTCTTCCTCTCATCGTGTGTTGGATTTCACTATGCGACAACCGATTTCGCTTTCTTCAAATATCTGTAACGTTAGCAACGTGACAGCTATGAGTCACCTGTGTAGAGTGACACAGAGATGGATGTTTAAGGATCTAATAACAACCTGTTGAACAAAAGAGGAGCCTTGAGGTGGTAATTTCAATACTGCCTCAAGGCCATTTACTGTTGTTTTAGCCACTTCTTTCTCCCACACTGCTTTTAACCCTTATGTTTCAATTTGTATTAATTTACCTTACTGTACTTCACTTTGCATTTCTACATTTTTTGACTGCTGGGAGTATGTATTTAAAAAACAAGCATTATGGTAAATAAAGTTCAAAATATTTCATTTTTTTCCTCACAGAACTGTAACATAAATAACTGCAGCATTCTTGGTATTTGTTATACTTTAACATAGCTTCAACCTCTTTTAGATTTTTCATTTAAATTTCAAGTGTTACTTATTTATTCTTTAATCTTTGATTTTTTCTGGCTTACTGCTCAGATTTTGCATTGACTCTTTATAGTTTATAGCGTATTTGTTTAATGATTTATTTTTAATTGGATAAGATTAAAAGCATTATGTGCAATGTGCATAAGCCTGACATTTAAGCACATATTTACATACAGGCTTAATTTCCCTGACTTTTTAACATTGTTGTCCTCCTGTTTATTAAACAGTTATCACTTAAGATTAACACTAATCCATTAACATAGCCTTTTTCACCTTTGTTGGAAATTCTGTCCCGCGTTGCCACAGACCTGGAGTCTGGCCAATGAGCAGGTGTCACGCTCAGTGGACCCAGCAGAACTTTGACCCATCCTGCTCAGTCAGGGTTCTCCCAGCTCACTATGTTTACTTGACCCCTTGTTACACTTCACTTTCCAGTTTTGCACCCATTGAGACAATTTAAGAACCGTGGACAAGGATAACATTTATTTTCAAATGATAAGCATATTTGTTGCTGAGTAACTAATTTCACTGACACTTGCTACATTTTTGTACATTCCTGTGATTTTGTCAGAATCTTTTTAATGTTTTATCTCTGTCTTTGCCTGTCAGTGTCTCAGATGGGTGTAGCACAGGGCCACAACATGTGTCCGGATCCTGGGATTCCAGATCGAGGAAAAAGAAAAGGTTCTGACTTCAGGTAAAAAACAGAAACCAGCAGGTACATCAGTATATTCAGAGAAAATATAACTTTATCTGCAGATGAATAGGTTAACATTTCCTGAAGAAGAGCTGTCTGACTGAGACAATGCCATCATAGAAAATAGGTTTTGGTTAGCAAAGACTCTCATCTCTGTTATTTACTGTCCTTAAAGTCATGAGTTGACCCTAATAGGCTTTATCTCTGTCTTTATTCCCTACACTAGAAATGTATATGGCTTGTACAAAAAATGTAATCCAGTTCTCTGATTTCAGTGGTTCTTTAAATTATGAGTTTTTTCCTCTTTTCTCTCAATTTAGTTTGTCAGTAAAATTTACTGTTTTAATAATGAAACAATCTACATTAGTCAGAGAACGTTGCAATATTAGGACTGCAGTGCTAATCATGCCTTTTTCAAAATTCAGACTTATCCTTATTTCAGTCTCCTAGATCTTTATTAATGTTTTAGCTTCACGAAGTTTATTGAATTGAATTTAAATCATCTAAACCAAATCATCTATTGTTCTCCAGCATGCACCCACCATATTACCTGATGCCACACCATAGACAGCCCCAGAAACCAAACCAAATAGAGAAATGTGCACAGAGAAACAAATGTTACCAGTGGGATCATGGAGTTTTGTTCCTGTCTGAGCCATTTTCCCTATCAGTGGTCAGCGATAACACAGACAAATGGGTAACATCCATCTCTCGCTATGGGAAATCACAGGCGGAAAGGCAAAACAAATGTGTATTTTTTCCCACTAAACTTTTCTTCTTTATATTTATACCTCATCCGCAAAGCCACTGCTGAATGGTGAATTGCACCAGGAGGGTTTGTGGTGCTGACGTGCTTTTTTGTGTGTTTTTTTCTGTGTGCAACCTAACTGCAGGCGAGGAGCCACAGTGCATTTCTCCTGTGACGAGGGTTATGAACTGCAGGGCTCGAAGAGCATCACTTGTCTCAGAGTGACAGACAGCTACGTAGGCTGGAGTGACGATCGGCCCATCTGCAGAGGTAAGGATTGACGTGTCTTGTTCATCTTTTCACCTGTGTAATGGAGGTAGACTCAGTGTGACCTCTATTTATATTTCATACTCAAGTGCTCAAGTCGCTTTTGTGGGCAAGTCTGCTGTCATTTTGTATAGGTGCTCGGTCTCTCCGTATCATGATTCAGTATTCACTATTATGTTGTGACTGGCCTGACTTTGACCTTTGGCCGGCGTTCTCTCGCTTCCTGTTGTTTAGCCATGCTGGCAAAGTGCTGTCCATCAATCATGTTTTCCTAACCTGTGGCCATTTTGTGACAGGCCGGGGAAGGGATCAGAGATCTTTTTATATATATATATATATATATATATATATATATATATATATATATACATATATATATATATATATATATATATATATATATATATATATATATATTTCCTGCTTGTGTTACCCTCATTTTTCATCTCACATGCAGCACTCAATAAGATGACTTGATGAGAATTAATTTGGCAATCAATGATGGGTATACGTTTATTGAAACATTGTTTATGTAACTTGAATCTACCATCATATATATATATATATATATATATATATATATATATATATATATATATATATTTAAATCTGTTACTGTTCTTGTAAATATAAAAGCAAACTGTGAAATTGGGAATATTTCATTAATTCAAGGTGTCTCCAGCCTTTAGTTGCTTTGAGTTTGTTTTTATTCTAAGATAAATTATAATCTTATAAATTATAATCTACGATAAAAATCTCAGCTTTGCTTTGGCGTAACTTTGTGCTGAACATTGGGGGGGGGGGGTAAATACCCATATGAATAAACATGCAACTATTTTGCTAGTAATACCTGAAATGAGTAAAGAAAAAACAGCCTATTTATGGAAGATAATTCTTATTTTTATTGGGAGGTTATATTGGTTGGGTCTGATTATTGGGGGGGGGTCATAACTCCCCTAACCCGCCTGGAAATTACGCCCCTGACTTTGAGTAGGTTTATGCCGGTATGGAAAGTATCTTACGGGCAATACACAGACAGGGTCAGAACTGTTTTTGAATCAATATTGAACTGTACCATTCTTTCACAGATATTTCCGCATTTTATGTTTTAATGATAGCTGTGCATCTAAAGCGTACAAAATCTCTCTCACGTGGTCAATTGAGTGATGATCCGGTGGCTGTGAAAGGCATAGGAGATGATTCACATCTTTTTCATGAACATTCAGTGCGTCTTCATTCCCAGAAAATAAGATAAAAATGTTTCATCATAAGATAGAGAATATTGATTTGCAGTGGCTGAACAGAACAATGCCAGCAAAATGCCTCACACAGCACAACAGAGCTACCAAAGTTTTTCCTTTAATTTGTCACTAGACCTTTTACGCCACAAAGTCTAAGGATTCTCGAAACAACCTAAGACGTGGCGTCTAAATGGGAAAGCTGCATGTCATTTCATAGTTGCTTCAAAAACATTAAATTAAAAAGTTGTATTAAAAGTGGGTATATATTTCTTTCTCATCAGTCAGAAGAAAAATTGGCTTTCTTTATCTGCGTGTGTGTGTGTGTAAAGAGACATTGACGTTACATCGACAGTCAGTCAGTGTAACTGCCCTTTCGATCGTCCTCATTTAACCTTTGGGACCGTGCCATTGTTCTGGCTCCCCATGTTTAAATAAAGATTAAACATCATCTAGGAATAATTGAAGATCTGTATCCTAAATTAGCATTAGTCATCATTAAATTGAACAGCACTATCATTAGCACAGGAAAAAACTTCATCTCTGGGTGCAGATTCATTCACTTTATAAAAAATTCATGGTTCCCTTTTCATTCGTACCTCCTTTCCTGCGCACACCAAGCTGCGGTTCTTTTTCCGTTGCAAATTTGATTGCCGCTTAGCCCACTGCACTTTCATGTCTCTCGCAAAGTACACAGAGTAGGATGTATCAGACATAATGATCCCCGTGATTAAAAAAAAAAGAAATTGGAGAGAATGTGATGGCTTCAGTAGACTTCCTGCTGTATTATTTTCGTTAAGGTCACCCTCACTGTCAGCACAACTCATATTAATTACTCTACTCACCCCTTAACTTCGCCAAAGTTCTTTTAAAATTTTAATAGGGGTGATTTGGTGAGAGGGGTGGAGCATGGAGCCACGGAGTGGGGCTTGAGCACCCAAAGGACCTCGCTTAGACACAATTCATTAAAATCTGGGTAGTTGGCTAAAGCTCTTTCAAGTACTTTCAGGTTCCCCTTCACATATGTACACACGTACACACTGTTTTCTTAAAGTACTTCAGTTTGAAGGGTGTTTAATAGTTGTGTTAAGCAGTCACCCTCGGGTATTGATAAGGAAAGTCACCTTGTACTCTGATGCTTGGTATGCTAACTGCTCATCTACTCTTTTCAGTCAGAATATCTAATTGTGCTATTTGATTCATAATTAGTTGTTTGCATTTATTTGACAGTGTTCCCTGTAGATATGCAGCACTCGTCGCATTTCGTTATTTTATTTAAGTATGAAATCATCAAGTTTGTTTTCCTTAATGTGTTATTTACAGAAGATGACAGTATTTATAAAAAGAGTCTTACTCCAGTATATCTTTAGACCTTTGGTAAAACTCTGATTAACGTGTTTTATTGAGTCTTTCATTAGTCTGCTTTTTTCATACTGCCACACTAAATCAAGTCGAGTATTCAGAGGGAGCCCTGGAGTTTGTCGCAACGGTGGTTTTTAATTTCATGTTAATTTTTTTATCACGTTATCGTTACCAATCACTTGCCAAACATCTTCATCTTTTCAAAGTGCTGCTCGCCTCCTGTGCTCGTGCAAGAGGCAGAGCATGCAGCACTTTGGCGGAGGAGCAACAGCGTCAATAGTGCTTCATCTGTGACTACACAGGATGTGTTGAGGCGCAATATCCAAAGTAGGTCACCTGTATTTTAGCGGTGCTCTAAGCCTAACATCCATCCAGTATAGTTATGCATGTAAAATGGAAGGAAATATGCTCGAGCTGTACAAATGCACTTGTCCTATACAATCACAACCACAGCTGTTAGCAGCAGCTGGACTGAATTAAAAAGGAGAATATCTGTAGGAGAATAGAAAAATGGGGCTCAGACATCTTATTTGTACAACATTTTTAAAAAAACAGTTAACTATTAAATACACACAAAGACTGAATCTGTTCTCGTATTTTAGTTAAAATAAATCTAAAATACAACTAAAAACAAGAAAAGTAGTGCACAAAAGACAAGTCAGACAGATAAAAAAGTATCTGAAAGTCATGTCCTTATGAAAGGGGGGGAATTGAGCAAAGACCTGACAAGAACTGAGAGATACATCTGGCCCTTCACTTCACCATCAGCTGTTTGGTGAAGTCTCATCAGAGATGATCTCAGTGGGAGGGTGGCTGTCAAGAAGACACTTGAGAAAAAGGTGAAGGTCTGCCAAATTACACAAGAACTTGACTGAAAATTGGGGGCTTTATTTTAGCCAGTGGTGTTTGGTAATATTACATTCATCATTTGGCAAGCATATGAATGGAAGAATGGAACAAAAGGCAAACAACATTCAGTTTATCTTCTCTGATTTATGAACAGAAAGTACGTATTTAAACTGTCATTGAACATGTGTCCCTCTCTGTCTTGATTTTTAGCACCAATGTGCGGAGGCCAGTTGAGAGGACCCAGTGGTGTCATCACATCTCCGAACTACCCAGTTCAGTATGACAACAACGCCAACTGCACTTGGGTCATCACGGCGACAGACACATCTAAGGTAAATGTCATTAAACACGGAACTGAAGCAACAATGCAGGGTGTTAATTTTGCTTTGCCGCTGTAAGCACAGATTTCCAGCGGTGCCGTAAGTGGTATCTTTAGCTGCCAGCTGCCTGATGAGTTTGCACCTTTTTAGGGAGGAGCTCCAGAGGAAGCGCTTCTCTGACACAGATGACTCATTTTATGCTTTTGATAATTGCTACAGGACACTTTAGGGGCTGTTCAACACACCATGTGACAGCAGCTTTCTTATTGAAAAATGTGAGCGATAAGGAAAATGAAAGGTGGGGAAAGAGCACTGGAAGCGAGCCAGCAAAAGACAAAGCGAGTTGTTAGAAACACCTGTGGTGAGGGAGAGAAGGAGTGAGTAAAATGGACAGGAGAGTAATGGAGAGGTTTTGAGAGCATGCTTGGAGGATATCATGAAAGTGTTACAGCCATTCTGTTCAGACCATTGACTTTGGAGTAGTGTTCAAGGCCAACCAGCTGCTATCCTGCCAAATATCCTTCTCTGAACTCAAACAAAATGGTTTTACAAATCCGTTCTCTTATTCCACTGCGCGGGATAGAAGAGAGGCTATGTAAGGTGAGAGGCAAGGGAGGACGGGGAGTCAGATCTAATATGCCCCCACAAAAGTCCACCCTTTGCTTGCATGTATACAAACACAAACAAACATTGACACCCTTGGGTATACCCAGGAGGCAGCCTGCTGGAACAGACACCAGTACTTTAGGCTGCCTCTTGCTCTGTGACTGGTTCAGATGAAGATGGAGAGAGACTGCTCTTTCTGTTTAGAGACGTAATGGGCTTCTATTCCTGCCCAGCCAGAAATGTTAGGTCAGCCAGCAGACTGAGGCAGAACAGCCTCAGTCTGAAGGGGGGTGGGGGAGCCGTGACAAAGCTCTGCTAGACCTACCAGCCTCATGACATGATAAGTAATTTGGGTTTTTGTCAAGTGGTGCTGCTTCATAGTTTCCCAAAGATACTAAATGCAGCTGTTTGAAGCTGGCAGTCTTCATGTGTTTATCCATTTATGCCAGAAAAAGCCAAAAAGTGGCCCCAACTTCCCAGACTTACACCAAGTTACACAGAGCTATCATCTGGACCCGACAAAGCTCTGAGACAACGTAAAACAACAATGTGCTTTGAAAAATCGACTGAATACAGGTCATGTTTTTTTTTCTTTTAAAGCAAATGATCTCCACAGAAATGAGATTTTTCTCTTATTAATATGCTACTTATAATGGTAATGAACTCGTTTAAATATATATTATTTTTAAAAGCACTCTCATGTTGTCATTACTGCCTAAATCCTATGCATGTAACTGTGTGTGTCTGGTTTGCAGTGGAAAAATGACCCGCAAGGATGCTGCAGTATTTACCAGGAGCAGGGTGTATGTAATAGTTTAATAAATAATCAGTGTCCGGGCAGACATTCAGAGCTGGGGTTTCTTTACTTAAGTCACAGCAGCAGACTTACAAGGGATTTACAGCTGACTTGACAGAAGCAGAAATACAGGCAACGGAGCTGCTGCAAGGTTTTCTTCCAGTCCACAGATGAACTAACTGTGCCCTCTATATATAATGCTTAGTTCAACCTTGTTGGATACAGTGGCAGGTATATGTGCCTACGGATTATTCAAGTATTTACAATAGCTAATATGTTATGTAATACTGTTAAATATTCTAGACCAGCAGCTGCAGAACAGAAAACTAAATGTTGTCCCCAGTCTTGCTTACAATAGGATTTCATTTATGATAGGATTTTTTTTAACTAAATGTTTTTATTGGAACATTTGGCACAAAATGGCAGGCTAGTTTAGAACCGGGACTCTTTTACTGCAGAGCCATGCTGTTGCTTTGAAGAATGCAGTTTGGCATTGTCTTGATGAAACAAGCAAGGCTTTCATTGCAAGAGATCATCTGTGGGCAGCATATGTTGCGCCAAATCGTGTATATATCATTCAGAATAAATGGTATATGAACAGATGTTTAAATTATGTGAGGGTATGCCGTGTGCAGTAATGCACCCCGCATACCCTCGCATCACAAATCCTGGGGCTGTGTAGGATGAGCCAGACACCTCCCCCATCCCATCCCCCCGTATAGAGGACACAACGGTCATGATTTTCTAAATGTTTTATCTTTGCCTGCTGGAGTTTTACTTTGCTTTCATGGATGCAGAAACAAACTGTGTTCACTGACAATGGTGTTCAGAAGTGTATCTGAGCCCATGCAGTGATTTTCAAAGAGTCGCGCCTCCTTTCAGAGCAGTGCTGCCTGCGGGGCCTGAAGATCACGGCAATACAATATTGGTTTTTTAGCTTTCTTTCAAGCGTATAGAGATTTCTCTGAATTCTCCAAATCTTCGCATGATATGAAGTAGTGCAAATGATAAAATCCTCAAAACAATTGCATCAGAAACTCTTCTTAGTGGTAAATCCAGCCATTTTCTATAGGCTGTCATGGAACTGATTGAATATTTTTTCCATTTTGTTGTCTTTTCCCAACTACTTTTGAAGTTGTAGGAGTGTTTATTTCATTTAATATTTACATTTTACACAGTTTTGGAGACATGGTTTTACGTTGCTGAAGTTGCTTCAGCTGTTCACTATGGATGAGTTTTCTTTTTTTTTACAACTCTTTCACAATATGGCTGCTGTGCTCTCTCTCTCTCCCTCTTTTTTATCTTCACCCCCTCTGTACCTCACCTGTTGGCTGGCAGATGGGAGATGAGTTTGTGGTATGAAACTCTATTTATCGAGCGATCTGACCTATTTTGCCTACACACCATCAATCTTTCCTCTCCACCTTGGCAATTTTCATTAAGAACTAGGTTTAACATAGGACAGAATGCAATTTGCATTTATATAAGCTTTTTCATTAGGCCCTGCTCTCTCTCAGCCCTCTGAAAACATTAAGAATTTGGCGGAAATCAGTGGCAGCCAATTTAAACTAGGAGGCAAAGACTTTTCCTTGTTTGGCTTTTTTATTTTTATTTAGCCTCCTCTGTCACTCTATTTTTTGCCCTTGTTATTAATATTCTGCACGTTTATAATTAAACCGTTTTTGTTTGTATGTTTAGAGCTGACCCCTTTCGCTTGCCTCGGCTAGGACGCAATTATTGTTTCCTTGTTTTTGTCTTGATTTATCCTTCAGCTGCAGCGCAGACCTAAAATTGCACTCAAAGAAATCATGATTTATGTTTTATAGAAAAGATTTATACACTAGATTGCAACAAAGTCTTTTTGTTGCCTTAATGGATCCTATTGGATTACATATATCCATATATATATGTATGCATAGAGAGGCACGTGTAATAGGCATCTGAAAGCTGCTATCGTGATCGGCAAGAGTGAAGGTCGTGCAGACCATCTGGCAGGCAATCAGATATTTGATTAGTGAGAAACAGTTCATAATCAGCAGACGCAGTAAACACTTACCAATACCGAGCTGTTAGGTCACACAGTATGAGATTTAAAGGAGAAAACAATTCTAATAACAAAAAAAATAAAATAAAAAAACTACTACAGTGTATACAGCTGGAAGTTTGATGGACAGATATAAAAAAAAAAACTGATGTATGATGGATTGATGAACAGAGGAAAAGGGAGTCACAGATGGGAAGAGATCTCTCCTCTGCATTTGGTTCAGGGAGTATTTAAGCATCTGCTTCCCTCATTTGTCTCGTTGATGTCCCCTCCGTTGTCTAGGTGATCAAGCTGACATTTGAAGATTTTGACCTGGAGCGAGGCTACGACACGCTGACGGTTGGAGACGGCGAGGTAGTGGGAGACCAGAAGACCATCTTCCACGTGTGAGTGACTCATTTGACCTCGTTTTCTCCTGCCTTTAATCTACCCTCTGTTCCCTAACTTCTTTTAGCTACCCGTCAGTTTCACTTTTGCAAGTCATGTTCCCGGTAATCATATTCTGCCTTCGCGCTCTCTTTCCTCCTCACCTTTGCGGGACACTCGCCTTTTCTTCCTCCCCCTGCGCCCGACAGCACCCGTCTGTCTTCCTGTTCCCCTCCAGCCCTTTTTTTTCCTACAGTTTCTCTTTTATTTCATCACCACCTGATGCAGCAGGGCATGAAAAATAGATGTCGCACCACATTGTCAATCATCTCTCTTTTCACTGTTAAAAACAAGATCACAGCCATGTGGCGCAGCATTGCAAAACTGCATATTGATGCCCCCTAATGGAGTTTGCGCTAGCAGATGCTCCATAACAATTCACAGGATGTTGTTATTAATTGTGCCGAAATTTACCACCTTAATAAAGTTTTTATAGATCAATTTTTATGCAAGGCTGCCAAGCTGGGGTGGAAACCGGGAGGGGGAGGTTGGAGATAAATGAGGGAGAAGTATGCAAAGGAAGGGGTTACTGATGTGAGATCATCCTCACATTCATATTTTTTTGTCTACTTGCTCAAACACCAACAACACACACAGGACAAACACTGAATATGGCTTAATCTCTTCAATTAAAGATTTTCCTCCCTCTCCTCCCCCTTTATGGACTTCTTTATGCTTTAAAAGTAGAGAGAGTAATTGAGTCTTTGCGCTCCTGCACACAAACAAACTAGAACAATTTAGTACTGGAGAATATACTGCAGCTATCAGCACTGTTAAACTCAGGACTATATTTTTTGAGAATCAGTGGTGCAGCCGAGCGCGTGCAGGGTGTAGGGAATTATTTAATATTTTTTTGTAACTTTATGGTCAGAAGCATGTAACCTTAGTGCAGCACAGTCATAAATGTGCTTTATAGGCAGTTAGTCACAACCAATCAAATCCACTCTTTTCATTTCAAGACACTGTGCTCTGACAGTTTAGAATGGAAAGAAACTATTGCAGTGAATATGCGACAAGAGTTTTTCCCATAAGGGAAATAATGTCCTTGTTTTGGATCTAACAGTAACAATTAAAAGGGTGGTGACGATAACAAAAAACACACAAAAACATAAAGTAGGTCATCAACAAGGACAGTATTCTAGACAGTGATTAGCTTACAGGGAAATTATTAGCATACTGATATAACTTGTCTGGGTGGAAATTATATAATAGCCTTGTCTATTATTTTTGACAAGCTTTTTAGTGCTACATTAGACACGCAGCATTTTATACTTTCTCTCACAAGTGCTTAGGAGTTCACAGACATTCAGCGCATTACCAAAAGGCTGTAAAAGAGAACAAAAATCTATCCAGACACTAGTAGCAATCCCACCATCCTACATGTTCTGTCACTAAAATTAGAACCCTTAATCACTTACTCTGCAGCTATACCCTTCCTAATTAGAGTTGGGTGGAATTACTATTCAAATGAGATTAAATTACTTCTGTGGCATTGACTGATCTTGCATTCATTTTGCACTTTGTTGTCTCCTGCTATTTTGAATGTAAGTGTTGGGATAGGATAAAAACATTTCTTAGCTTAAAATTCCTTACAAAATTTGTAAAGTTCTTAATTTGTGTAATGATTTAGCAAAAACAAGGTCTCTCTGTATTTTCTAGGTGATGACAAGTCCACAGCTAAAGCACTTCTACTGCTGATTAAAAAATTGCACAAAGATATAGAATATTCAACAGAAAGAAATGTCTTTTTATAAGGTGTATGTTGGCTTTTCTTGTTTTATAGTCTGTCTGGTTCGACTACTCCAGACCTTGTCGTGAGCACCAGTCATCAGATGTGGCTCAACTTCAAAACAGATGATACCAGTGGCTCGTTGGGCTTCAAGGTGTCCTATGAAGGTAAGGTTGCTGTATATATTTTGGTTCTGGCTCATTAACTGCATTTTAAAACGGATTGTTTAACTTTAACCTACTAAGATCCGAACTCTTTCATGGCATGCATTTAAATTTTTCTTTGCTATTTGTGTTGATTGGGACCCGATGAATGTAAAAACAAAGAATTACCCGATTTTATTTTTTTTACTTGATTTTTGTTTCTGACAAAAATGAGATCTACATATGAGGACATTTGTTTTAAATTTCGATAGAACAGTGGCAGTATAATGTCCTCGTAAGTGGATATCAGGCCCTTGTAGGGAAAAATGAAGTATTTCGGTCTAGTCATCGAAAAATGTGATGTCCACATATGTGGACGCCAGGTCCTAGGAGGTTAAATCATCTTAAGAGTAGCATCAAAGGGGAGTCATGTTAATGGTAAAGTATTTTTTTGTGGTTTTGCAGTGAGTCATCATGGTGCGGTGGTACACTGATGTTAAAAAGCAAAAGCAGTCTTTATAGTTAGACTTTAAATCTCGACTTTCTCCTTTTACAGTTTGAAATAGGAGTGGATTTCTTTTTTGATCAGTTACGCTTGTGCGTTGTGACTCACCGCTCAAGTCTAACTATCATATGTCCAAACATAACACATTTTTCTTCAGTTGGCTGCTGGTCTTCCCAGTATGTGTCATCCCAAGTTTAGCTTCAAAGACATAATCATTGGAGTTTATGTATCTGTCTCATATGAGACTTTAAACAGTAATATGACATCGATTTCATCCATTTTCTTCCACTTGTCCAATTCAGCGTTGCAGTTGGGCTGGAGACTGTCCCAGCTGTCATAGGGCGAGAGGTTGCGTACACCCTGGGCAGGTCGCCAATCTGACACAGAGAGACAGACAACCATTTACACTCACATTCACACATACGGCCAATTTAGAATCACCAATTAACCCAACATGCATGTCCTTGGACTGTGGGAGGACGCCAGAGTTTGCAGACAGACCATACAAGCTCCACATAGAAATGCCCCAGCCTGCCGTGGATTCAACCACAGGACTTTCTTTGCTGTGAGGCGATGGTGCCAACCACAATACTGTCATATCACGAACACAACTAATATATGGATGATATCTAGCAAAAGAAACCCAAACAAACAAACAAAAAAAGGAAAAGAAGAGTAATTGGAACTATAGGAGAAAATTAAGTCTCCCTTTTTGTGTGCGATCTCAGTGCCTCTGTTCTTGGCTCTTGGCAGTAGAGTCTGGAGCTCTCAGGCAGCAACACAACTAAACAAAGAATTAAAAAGAAACATTAACCACACATAAGCAAACAAGTATTTGAGTAGTTTATGGGTGATGTTTGTGTCCTCTTTTCAATTTAATTCAGTTTGAGTCTTTACTGCTGTTTTGCTTCTCTCCTTTGCTCTCTATTTCCCCAGCTACATGTCACGTCTGCTTCCCTTCAGCTCCGTGTCGCACATAGTGGAGCATAGGAGAGATAACGATAATGCTACTAGAAGAATGCTATTAAAATGGAGCCACTTTGATATAGTTATATAATATATTATTTTTTAGAATAAAATGTATTCAAATCATAACAAGGTATGAAATTTTAGACCCTCTGATCTCTGTGTACTTCATGTTGCAATACAAAAAACAACCCTGTTTCAAGACCTCATATTTGCGTTCACTAAACTGGTCATAAACAGTCAGTGGGTCATCTAGCTACATTCATCCTACTGTCTAATACCAGTGCGTCTATCTCTGTGTAATTATGTGTCTGTATGTGTGAGCTTTAACAATAGATCAATGTGTGTTTTTGCACGCGTGTTTGAAGATCAGATACAAGTGTGGGTTTGTGAATGAGTATGTGTGCGTTCTGTTTTCCAGTGTGAAAGCATGTGAGTACTGGGTGTTTGCCAAGGTTTTTCTTCTAGATAAGTGCGCTGTTTGCCTCTCAGAAGCACAGCAAGTCTTCTCCCTTGCCCACAGATGCTTATTTTTCATCAGTAAAAATAACAGCAAAAGTGGAGCAGCATGCTGAACCAAAGTGTAATTAAAACAATGAGTTCTACTTAATGAAGGGGAAGAAACGCTTTGAACCACTTCACCTCCCAGATTGGAGCACCCAAAATCTAATTTGCATTCTCAATTACTTGTATTTTAAGCCTGATCATCAAGTGTAATTGCAAACACAGTCATACCAGAACCCACACTCCCACCTTACCCATACGTTGTGGGTTGCTCACACTCTGCAGTGGGCTCTGTCTGTTCTGAAAATGCAGCGCTTGCAAAGAAAATCAGTATTAATGCAAATGAGCCTAAAACCCAACCACTGTCGTGCTTTATACTGACAACTGAGGGTATGTGATATGAAACACTTGAACTTCTTGTTATCCAGATGCAAACGAACGCACCAATGGGCTAACACTGAGGGCAAAGCATCATGTCATTTGTATTTTGAGTACTCCAGCCCATTCATTGTGCAGGGCACTAACAGTTTATGATTAAACATCGGATATAATCATCTGTTAGCAAAGCAGCAGTTGAGAAAGCATCTGTTGACAGAATTTTGAATTTTCGCCTCATTGCAAGGTTACCATTATCTTCATGCATTTTTAAATGCGACTGCAATTTTGTAAATACTTTAAATACTGTTGATTCAGTAGTGGAACTGAGAGCCTTTAGAGCCCACTGAGACATTGTGTGCAGTACTGGGTTATACCAATAAACTTGACTAATAAAGTCCTTTTGTCATCCCAGGCCTTAGGAGATTGCAGTGTAGCTGTTGACAGTAATTTGAGTCTGTGTCCCATTAACGTGCCCGGATTATTCTGGAATGTCAGGGAAGGACGACAAATACGCCCTTACATCTCTTCCCTTATTCATGAGAATCAGCAGCTGTTTCGTTCACTTACCACCCTGTGTATGTTGTGTACAAGATGCTTTCATATGTGCAACACACACTTTTATAAATATGTTTTAAACAAGAGAGACAGTCACACACACACACACACACACACACACACACACACACACACACACACACACACGCTCTCACACACACTTCAAAGGATTCTTATATATTAAGACAATTTTTCCTAAAGTTTTAATTAGAGGGACCCATGAGGCAGAGAGGCCTACGGGTGTAGGGACGAACAAGTGATTGCATGATCTTGTTTGTGTTTGCACGCGTGTGCATTAATATGTAGATATTCTTGTGTTTGCGTAACAGCTGGATTGCTCTTTCAGATCTGGTTTCTGTCATTCCCTCGGTTCATTTTATCCTCCATTCTCTCTCATTCTCTCTCGGATTCACCTCAAAACTTGCTTTCAGCATCCCCCCCACCACCCCTTTTAAAGGTGACTTCCACGTAAGATCAATGAGTTGTCTTGTGAATGAGGCTGCCTCAGGACAGCCATACATCCAAACAGCAGTGAGCTCTAAATATGTGTTCTAAATGATGATCATCGTTAGGGCTGAGTATGGATTTATACCCGGCATCACCCCCGGTGCGATTTAAAATCGTATTAGGCCCTGCCATCATTTCCTGGATGGATGAGCTTATTCGCTCTCTGTGTTCCCCCATCCAGATGCCTCAATAGGATGCCTCAGCATTCCCATCTGCAATCTAAGACCTGAGAAAAGTAGAAAAAAAAGAGTTAGTGAATGAAGGCGGCCGCATAAATCTTGCAATAATGAAATTGGCGTGTTTGGTTTTAAGGAAGAAGAGTGGTCGCAGAGGTGCGGGTGTGTTTTGCGCACGAGTCGTGAAGTACTCACATCAGCTCCCAACACGAACGAGGTAGTTTGTCACACAGTAAGTCGAGGAGTACATTTTCAGTGGGGGGAGGGAGAAGCACTTGGGAGATTTGCACGATTAGAAGGTAATAGTTTAGGAAAATAAAGACACAGTAAAGAGACCAAAGTGGAAAACAGTGCATAAAGAGACAGGGAGTTCATTCATGTTGGCGTCAACAAAGGTAAACGTCAAAGTCAGTGAAGGTTTATGCACAAACTGCGTTATCTGAAACAAAGCCCGGACTTATCAGCATTCTGAATTTGCAGAGATTAAATCCATATTGATCTTGTGGGTGGTAAACAAGTGCATTTCCCATAATGACACTTTTGCATAAATGCTTGATGCAGATAATGTGGAGCAGCTCTTATTCTCCATGCGATGTGCCCTTCAGTGTTTCCCGTGAGTTAAAAATGTATTTTGCTACTCCGCTGCAGGGAAAAGGGGGCAGGGAATGTGCTGTTGCAATGGTCCATCGGAGAGTTGGTGCTTAAGCAGCATTGTATTGTATTTCATTGTATTTTCCATTATTTTGACTCCAAATCACCATTTTTACAAACTTCCTCTTTCAGCAAAAGAGATGATTGATTCTAAATTATTGATTAGTGATTCTAAAATAGTCTTAGGTGTGAATGTGTGTGAATGTATGTCTGTTTCTCTGTGTCAGCCCTGTGACAGCCTTGGCGGCCTGTCCATGGTGTACCCCAACTCTCGCCCTATGGGAGATCAGTGTTGGGAAGGTTACTTTTAAAATGTATTCCATTACAGAATACAGAATACATGCCCCAAAATGTATTCTGTAACGTATTCCGTTACGTTACTCAATGACAGTAACGTATTCTGAATAATTTGGATTACTTAATATATTATCATGCTTTTTACAACAACGTGAATGTACTATTGCTGTGTGATTTATTACTATTACTGAAAGTCCGCGACTCCGAACTGTAGTAAAGGGACCTCTGACTAATACGGCGGGGTCCCTGTCGGCTGGTAGCCGAAAAATAGCTTTACTTTGTTGTGTGGGTCAACTTTTCTTGCGAGAGACAGAGAGAGGCGTTGAAAGACTGCTCCAACGGAACTTATTGTTTTCGGAGGAAAACACGAACACGGTGTACAGTCGAGTCTTAATAGCTTACTTACAACTGGGCTCGTCAGGCACTCTTCTTGGCTGCAGTGGTTATTATTATATTTACATGCTTCCAGCTCCCGTTTTTCCTCGATGACAACTCATACCTTTCCACTCCCCTTTTTCTCCCTCCTCGCGCTCACAGACCCATAACGTGTATGGCAGTCCATTCTCCCTGCAGCACGGACTACACTGGCCATGATGCTACATTCTTTAGAGCTATGCTTGTAGCGTTCTGCCTGTTAGCTTAGCACAACAACAACAACAACAACGAAAAGGCGCTCTCTCACCCAGGAAACACGCAGTCGCAGAGAGAGAGAGAGAGCGTCGCCCTGTAACCATGGCAACTGTAACGCTGCCGCCTGGAACAACAGAACGTAGCTGTCAAACAAAACCCAAACAGTCCTGACCCGCGACAAAATGAAACAGGGAAGTACCGCCGTGTAATCCATTTATTTCAACAAAGTAACTGTATTCTGAATACCACCTTTTTAAACGGTAACTGTAACGGAATACAGTTACTCATATTTTGTATTTTAAATACGTAACGGCGGTACATGTATTCCGTTACTCCCCAACACTGTGGGAGATGAGGATAGACTTAAGCCCCCCCGTTTATCCAGAATTGGATAAACGGAAGAAAATTGATGGATGGAACAAACCAATGGGAGCTATAATCATATCTGTTGTAGTTTCATGAGGAAGAGGATCCAGATTCAGATTCCAGAGGGCGACAAAGTAAAATCCAAATCTTTCATCCGAGTAGTTGTCATACACAGAGCTCAGTCAGCAAACGCAAACTATGCAGACAAGTACATTAGCAGACTTCAAGTCCATACCCAGGAAGAACAAGCTAGGGTCTACTAACTACATTAATAAAAACTTAAATGAATAGTCAGACCTTTACTTTTTAAGAGTACAATGTGACAGGTGACCGACAGAAACAGGGCCATATATACTGAGGATAATGATTAGGTGAACAGATGTGGCAGAAAACTCGCAAGGATCAATAGTAAAACTATCAAACATTACAAACCCCAACAGGAGGGAACAGAACAGAAACGCAAAACCATCTCAGAGCAGGCTTTTTCTCCCTCTCTCTCTGTAGTTGTACTGTGTACACCACAAATTCATCTTTCTCTGCATGACACAGAAATTTGCATAAGTCTGTTGCTTGCTGAATTGTTCTGTCTTATGTATTTACGTCCACCTGCGCAGAGATTGAGCAAGGCAGTTGTGGAGATCCTGGAATTCCAGCTTACGGCAAGCGGGAGGGGACAGGTTTCCGTCACGGGGACAGACTGTACTTCGAGTGTCTGCCTGCCTTCGAGCTGGTGGGGAAGAAGAACATCACCTGTCAGAAGAACAACCAGTGGTCAGCTAAGAAACCCAGCTGCGTTTGTAAGTTACTGGACGACTCCCCTCCGATTCGACGTACACCTTGCGCACACGTGCATGAATCAAACACTGCTCGCAGGGACGAGTACAGGGAGGGCTGCATAATAAATTGTCAGATTATCCTTACAGTTTGCCTTGCAGAGGCTGTGGATTTTGAAACAATAGGAGGGATTATTAGCTAATTAACGCCATGAAAGACAAACACAAAGTGAGAGAATTAGAGGGTGAGGAGAAGAGGGAAGAGAGCTGACCATGCAGATAATACCCACTGTTGTATTATTGATGAGACAATAGAATGGACAAAAAGCTGCAGTGTGCAGATAAACATCACAGAGCTGAATGACAGAGAGCTTCCTGGCCCAAATGTCATTTTGGCTGCATAATACTATGAAAAAATGGGTTATTTAGTTAACGCTTAACAAAATATTACAGTCATGTTGAAACAATGCAGCCGGCTTGCTTTTGCCGTTGAAGTTGACGCTGTAAATGTGATCGCATGCTTTTCTAACGTACAACTGTTCAATTGTGTGTTTTCATAGTGAGAGAGTCGCCAGTACGTTTATTTTTACCAAGCATCTTATTTTATCCTCCTTTTCATGCTTAAATGAGATTTGTTGATTTCTGTTAGGTCCTACTGTCAGCTAAAAGTATAATGTATCCAACTAGGACACCTTAGTAAAGCAAGCATTCTTAATTTGCCTTGTCTTATGCCTTTGATTATCTGTAACCCTTTGATGAGCCTAAGAATATGTGCACGCTCATCTGGATGCTTTTCAGAAGCAATTTTTGTCCATACTGAAAACAAAGTGCGTCGCGTAATGCTCAACATATTGCTCGCCTTATCTCCTGTGCATGTAGTCACCAGAAGAGTGACAAACTGAAGAATTTAGCAATGCAACAGCTGTTTGCACTGACAAAAAATGTCAACCATGGCTTTCAATTAACTGCCGGTGGTCTAGGCAGTCTTGTTGTCTTGTGGAAAAGGGTCACAGGATCTGACTAGTAAGGCACGCATAAGCAATTACTGATAAGACCCCATGAGAAAGTGAACATGAGTGCCTGAATCATCGTTCAAGTCTCACTTTGTTCCTATCCAGACTTAAATGCTAATGTAGTCTGTAGTGTTTTTACACGGTCGACACATTAAATTGCTTGAATAGTGGGGACAGGAAGGTGAACACAGCAAAAGTGGAGTTATTCTAAAATGTAACATGTATTAGGTTGCACGTCGCCCGAGGTTGTTGTCAGCACAGTGGTGGTTATTGGAGTTGTCTCCTTCTTTTGAAATATGTCTACGGCACGTGTGTCTTGAGGTGGTACAGATTCAGTAAAATGAATCAAGTCATAGTGGCTTGTTGTCAGCAAAGGAAATGGAATTTGCCTCTTGTTTTCAGTCTCCTGAACAATTCTCATTTTTATGTTGCTTATCTGTATTTCTTCCTCTCACCCGCTGTCTTTGTCTCTATCTCTCTATCTCTCCTATAGTTTCCTGTTTCTTCAACTTTACCACTCCATCGGGGGTGCTGCTATCTCCCAACTACCCTCAGGAGTACGGAAACAATATGCACTGTGTGTGGCTCATCATCACCAACCCTGAGAGCAGAATCAATCTGGCCTTCAACGACCTCAGCATGGAGAAGCAGTTTGACTTCCTCTCCATCAAGGATGGGGGAAAGGTAGCGCATAAGCGGATGTCCTCGCTTACTTTGAAAGGCTCTTTGCTGACCTGTCTATCAGTCATGGTGCTTGTCAGCAGGAAAAGCAGCCTCTGTAATTATGCGTACAAGCTAAACAACCTTTCTTCCAGTATCACTGGACTTTATCGCTTTATCTGTCTACCTCACTGTAGGATCCGTCTGCTCTTGTTTTGGTTTTTTTAATGGTTTTAAGCTGAGTATAGCTTTGGTCTCAGCAGAAAATCGTTATCTGTCTTTGTCAGGCTGAATCTCCTATCCTGGGGACCTTCTCTGGTGATGTCCTGCCTCCTCCCATAACAACCAGTGCGCATGTAGCCCGTTTGGAGTTCCTGACTGACCACACCTACACAGACAGAGGCTTTAACATCACATTTACAAGTAAGTACCTCAAAGGAGATAAAGTGAAGTCTTTAAAGCTTATCACAAAAGCCCACATTGACTGTTGGATGTTTTGTATTCTCAATTGTTTGTGCATGTTTTCAGTATGTGTGTGTGTGTGTCTGTGTTTGCGCGCACATACAATAGGGCTCATGAATCATCCACAGTATCTCTGTGCGTGTCTCCCATAGACTGCATAAACTGGCTAAACATTACTTAGACACTCAAAGAAAAATGACAAACTCTCACTTTATTGTCTAAATAGAAACTTGACGTCTAAATAAAACCCAAGCGAAGATGTAGCATCTTTACCTGACAGATGCATTTGCACCTGTGCTCATTATATTCTGTTCTGGGTAGCTGCTGACTTCTGAGGAAATTCTAGAAGCACACTGGCTGCAGTTCTGGTAAACCGTTTTTATGGTTATACTTTGTTCTGAGTGTTGGAAGCAGGATTCATTGCATGCGCACTATTGTGTTATGAGTCTGGTATTGAAATTCTTCTACATTACACCAAAGAAAATAACTCGGGAGGGAGCGTCTAACCCTCACTGAGCCGCAAAGTGTCGGGTAGTTAAGGTGCCTTTTGCTAGAAAAAATCTAAATTTTTTCTCCCGTCTTTAATTGAGAGCACACTCATAGTAGTTTTCAAATGTAATTAGTTAATATTTATCATGCAAATCAAGATTATGAGATTATTAACTAAAACCTAATAAAAGATTCACTAGCTGCACCCACGTCCTCATTTATGTTTGACGGCGTTTTAGTAGGTAAAGGTGAATGGCTTGGACATGAATTGAGCTGCAGTTTGGGGAACGCCTCGAAGGGGACTGGCGGCGGCTCCCAGGCCTGGCAGATTTCCATGCATTAAATAGAAGTGAAGAAGTTAAAGAACTGAAAAGGGGAGCAAGGGTGGAGCATGTAAACGAGAATTAACAGCTTGTAGGACTGGGGGAACCTATATAGATGAGAACTGGAAAGAGCGTGTTCGTAGGCGTGGTCCCGCTCCTGAAATTCAGATACTTAATCTCCAACTAAGAAATAGGTGCCAACCCCCCCCCCACCAAAAAAAAAGATGAAAAAATGAACAGAATCAATATAGTGTAATTAGAAACCAAACAATACAGTCAACATGATTAAATATTAAAATATACAGCAAATGTCTACCATGGTTAAGGCCAGATTTGCTAACTCAGTGTGCCAGCGCGACCTGGGTTTTGGCGTTAAAAAAAAGTGCTGTTGGTATTTACGAAGGGAATGCAGAGACAGGATTGCGTGTAGGAGGTGGGAGCTCAGAGGTTTTTGCTGCTGACCCTGTTGCAGTCGTATTTCTGAGAATTCCTTTCGCAAGTTGTAAAATATGGTGAGAGATTAATGAAATCAAGCCTGCAAGCTGATATAAACATAAATACACCGATACTTAACACTGCAAAAAAAAAAAAAGCACATCTTGTTTTTTTGCGCATGATATTGAAATAAACCAACTGCCCTCGTTTTTAGTAAGCAGCACCACCTTTGTAAATCATTCATAAAACTAACCACACCTACAGTACGAGTACTGTAGGCACTGCACTCAGATGCTAATTTGCCACATTTAGTCATTTTGAGCCATAGTCTTACATATATGTCTTATAGTATGAATCAGCATTGGCATACAAGTTTTGTTCTCACACTTAACAAAGCCCTGAAAGGATAGCTGCAGCTGGGTTTGTGTTAGGATATTTAAATCAAATCCCCTCCATGACAGAGATCTCTTACTGTTTATTTATATGTTCATTAAATGCAGTGCACAGTGATGCCTGTTTACAGTATACTGTGAAGATTGCTCATCCTGTTTCAACTTAACCTCGGCTCTCACCAAAATATCTCTTTGATGTTAATCTATATCAGCTCAGCAAGGCCAGAATGCTTTCAACCCCCCCCCACCCTTTGCACGAGCTCATTTGCAGACGCGACATCAACCAAGCCCAGGTGCATCTGGAAAGCCACAATGTGGACAACACATGGCGGCTAATGCATTAATTAGCATGCTAGATGAATAAATAAATAACCGTGCCGAACGAATGCCACGAGCAGTTAATTGAAGATGACGGTTTGTTCCTGAGAACAGTGTCATCTAACTGCAGGACGGTTTTTGAGGAGGTTGTGGGGCTGAGCACACAACTTTCATCATTCATGTTAATTAAGGACATGCCAAACTGTATTTAGGCAATTTCTAGCGCGTTAATGAATAAGATATTTGTGATGGATGAGGTGTAGCTGGCACTTGGTTTGGGTCCAGTAACTACAGAACAGGGATTCATCAACACCTACACGCGTCAAATACCTGCATGTGTTTACAAGAGTGAGAGTAAGTGAGAGAGATAGCAGCCGAGGTGATGTATTTGTTTACAGGCCGTGTTTCAGGGTTATGACTCTTCTTGTATGACTGTGTTTCTTTGTGCTCTTTCTACTTGAAATTTCATCGAGAGGCCTGATTGATAAAGTTGTGAGGCTGCATGAAAGCAATTACCCTTGTTTGTTTACCTCACGATTACTTCAGCAGTGTCATCTGGCACTGATGATCTGCATACGGTGTGGTTTCCCACCCTGTAGAATGACTGCAGCAGGGTGAATCAGTGTGACTAAGTGAAACAAATTCCCGCTTGTTACATGCTGGAGTGGCTAAGTGCTGACGGTACAATGACAGAAAAAGTTTTGTCTTGAAACTCAAGCAGTTATTTTGGAGTCTTTACACAGGACAGCATGTGATGTGGATTAATATCAGCAGAATTATAGACAATCTCTTTTTCCATTTCATTATCAAGCAAAGACTTTAAGCAACAGGGAAAGCATTTTTCCTGTTTATAGCTAATGTATTAAGTAGTCTGTTTTTTTTCTAAAGTCTTCTAAAAGCTGACTCTGTACTCGTCACTAACCCCCATCTCTTCTCTGCACTTCCACAAGCGTTCCGCCACAACGAGTGCCCAGACCCGGGTGTGCCGGTTAATGGGAAACGCTTTGGAGAGAGCCTTCAGCTGGGCAGTTCCATCTCATTCCTGTGCGAGGACGGCTTTGTTAAGACCCATGGCTCCCTGACCATCTCCTGCATTCTCAAGGACGGCAATGTGGTGTGGGACAACGCTGTTCCTCGCTGTGAAGGTGTGTAAGAGGGCTCATGTGTACCGTTAGAAGAAAAAAAAACTTCTGATAGCTCATTACCCGGACTGTCCTGGAGGTATAACACAGCTAAACGGGAGAATATATCCTTCTGAAGGGGATTCTGGCCCCCAGACCTTATGCTTGACACCCCTGGCTTACCATTTGTGGCTGACACCTAAGCAGTTGAAGAGATTATTGGAGGAAAATGAATCCTTTTGCTAAAAGATGCCTGAAGAAAAATATGGAGCAGAACAAATGAAAACCCCTTCCTGGACAAACATACGTACAGCTGCAGGGACTTCAAAGGTTTAGATTACACGCTCCAATCGCTCTTAAATATCCTTTTAACCATATTAGGGAAAGAACAAGTACATAAAATGTTACCAGTAATAAGGGAAGGTTGACCCAAGGGGAGCAGGGAAGTCAGAGACGATCTATGATCTACATTTCATATTGAAACAAATTGCTCCCCTGTTTCTATTTCTGCATGTAACAAAGAGCTAGAACCTTAGTGTTTATATTTTATTTATTCATTACATTTCTCTGTACAGCAGACTAGTAAATTGTATATATCAGAAAAAATCCACATTATTTATTTATTATATACTGCACCTTGTTACCTTGGTATTCACTCTACTAGTTACTTTATGTCCTTCTAAAAAGCACTTCAGTAAAATGTATGACCCTCTATACGCAAAATATCCAAGGTTCACAGGATGTCCTGAAGATAAAAGACTATTTGGTTAGAATAATAAAAAATTCTAACACACACACACACACACACAAACAAAAAAAAAGTTCAAAACTAAGTTCAGAATACGCCTTGCAAAAACAAACTAAGGAGAAAAAAAAGAGATTAAAAGAAATATCTGTACCAGTTTGGACTTTGATGTCCCAGTCCCTCTGAATGCTTCTGCAGTTCTTATCTCCCAGTGGTACTACCCAGCCAGCTATTTGCCTCAAATACTGCCAAAAAAAAAAAGTTTTTGTCACCTCTTGTATACAAACGTTAGCAAACTTTGAATCGCGAGTAGTAGTTTTGATGGTATAGCTAGCTAAGTATGCAAAAATGTTATAAAATAATACTAATAATAGTAATAACTCCACCTGAATTAGATTTTTCTCAAATAGTTAAAGGAGATATAGTTAATTACTCCATTCTCAGTAACTTTATGTCAGTGACAGCTGAGCTCAAATTGAAGCTGGTGATGACCCGGAGGCTTTGTTCTTTCCAGTTTGTGATGCAGCGGCCATAATTTGCTTATATAGAGAAAGCTGAACAATCATCTCTGCCTGACTCAATACTCAATGAACTATCCCCAAGAAGTAGTTTAGTTTAGATAATACTCACCATTAACTAGCCGCTTTAAGTGCAGTCACCATGGCTGGAGCTCCAAGGGACTTAATCAGGTTCTCTGTCTGTGATACGCAAACGAGGCACCACTATTAAAACATGTCACAACCCCCCACCACCCCACCCCCGTGTGCCACAGCAGTTTTGTGTTCCTCCATCTATCATACCCCTGCGTTTGTAGCCTAATGCGTTTTATAGATGTCCTTCAGTATGCTGAGTTGGCTGATTAAATCATTCCACTTCAAAGGGAGCGAGGAGCTGGCACAGTAACGAAGCCGTCCACTGTGCCCGTGTGCTCTGGTTAAGGATAGGCAGTTAAAAGGAGATGCGGCAAAGAGAGCTGTAACAGAGATTAGGGTGCAGGAGAGGGGTCGGCGCACTCAAGTGTCTTTTGTGCTAGCGATCAAAGACGTCCCATTTCGTCTTTTTGATGGGAGAAGGGCTCGATGATATGTTTAAAACCCTGACTCCTTGCATAGGTGGCACACAAATGCGTAATAAATGCTCATGTGCACACAGACACGCAAACACTGACACGCGTGTTCCGGGAGAAGCGGTTAACCTTGAAGCGCGCTGTCACCAGCTTCCATAAGATAAACCTTGGCAGCAAAAAGAAATGGGATGAGCCCCAGCTGATGCATGGGAACATCTGTGGGCAATGGCATACATCATCCAGGATAGACGTGCATTCATTTTTTATTTTTTAATCTGTTCTTTCTCTACCTCTATTTCATCTCTCTGTGTTAGCCCCGTGTGGAGGGGATCTGAAGGCTCCCAATGGAATCATCCTCTCCCCTGGCTGGCCAGAACTATACAAGGAGGCCCTTAACTGTGAATGGATCATTGAGGCTCCTCCAGGCTACCCCATCAAGATCATCTTCGACAAGTGAGTCACCCACATAGCAACTGCTCTTGTGCCAGCACTTTCTGTTTTCTCATAACAGGCTTGGATTTTTATTGCTTTTACCTTCTCACTGTATCACTGTGTTCTTACATCGTTATGTCTCACTTTAACCTCTCCCAACGCCTTTCCTTTATCGGAGTAATGCAGTAGATCTAATGCACTTCAACACATCCACCAACCAGGATAATACTGCTTTATTTACTAAAGTCCTTCAGAGGGGTTTGATGCTTTCATTTGATATCCTGAGCCCTAAGTACGCAAACACACACAATGCAAAGGGCTATGTAAGTTGAGATGGTCTGTCAAGAGGGACTGTGGAAATGGGAGTGGATGTAATTTGTCCTGATGTTTGAGAGAGAGACAGTTGTAGGATCAAATGCTACATCAGTGTTTCACTGAGGCTCATCTTCGCTAACCCGGCTCATCCTGAGCGCTTCCACGACAGCGGGCCATGCAAATTGAATAGCGCGTAAATGTTTGTTGCTCTTTAATTTTATGTAACATCAATAAAATATCACAAACCGCTTCATTTAGATGACACGGTTCTGAAACTAAGCAATTTATTCACGCTTTGAAGATGAAGTGGCTCAGGCAACAAAGACAGAAACACACATACATGCTATTGAAATACTGTATACACCCACCAAAGCCAAATGTCTCAGGATTCTCCAAAAGCAGCATCACTCGCTTTTGTACAGTTACCACTGTTATTACACTGACTGGCTAAATGTCAAAAATACATTTTTAGATGGGATTCTCTACATTGCCTGTTTTTGGTTAAGACCATATTGATTCATTTACTTTACAAATTGTTCATTTCATCAAGTTTTATCCAGCTAGTCAAGCACAGATTAAAACATGAAGTGAAAATGAGCTCTTTGTCCACTCTTGATCTCTTTTCCCTGATAATTTAGCAGAAGGCAAATATATTTATGGAATATGAGAAACCTTATTTTTGATACAATCTACTAATGCAGATCTTACCTTTGAACTCCCGTCTGTTCGTTTGATATTCTGCTTTCGTGCTGCTTAATTTCAAATAAATGCACAGAAGTCCCAGTGGATATGTCACTGTTGTGTGATGGTGTGGAGCTCCAGGGCAGGCTCCACTTTGTCTGATTTGTAACCGAGCTTTGCATTTATTGTAGATCTGACTTAATAATGAAGACGATGAGGTTTGAATTGAGATGCTCATGTAAGACAGACTAGTTCACATATACATTTTTAGCATGATTATGATTGTTTAGTTCTTTATTTTCCCATTTCATTAATTTCAACAATCATTTACTAAAGGCATACATTATTGTCTCGGATCTTGTGAGGTGCAGTCAAAAAAAGCTTTGCTTTGTGTTTTCAGGTTTCGCACCGAGGTTAACTATGATGTCCTCGAGGTGCGAGATGGACGTTTTCCCTCTTCACCACTAATTGGCAGTTACCAGGGCACACAAGTTCCCCAGTTCCTGATCAGCACCTCCAACTTCCTGTATCTCCTATTCACCACTGACAAGAGCCACTCTGACATTGGCTTCCGTATACGTTATGAAAGTAAGGGCCTACCACGTTTGAACACAGTGACACAGGAAGCAGTTTGTTCACTTATGCACCACAGACGCTAAAAGAAATACATCTGTTGCATATACAGTGGGGGAATAATTATTTGTTTGCTCACTTATTAATAAATGAGCAATCTCTAATTTACTGAAGAGAGACAGAATATCAAACAAAATCCAGGAAAACACATAAATACATACATAAACATTATAAATTGATTTGTATGTCATTGAGCGAAATATGAATTTGATCCCCTACAACCAAGACCAAGGAGCTGTCAAAGGACATCAGGGACGAAACTGTTGTCCTGCCAAAGGCCATTAGCAAGAAGCTTGGTGAGAAAGTGACTGCTGGTGCTGTACTTTCCTCATGGGGTGTGGATGATCATGAGAAAGGTGGTGGATCAGAATAAAACTACACAGGAGGAGCTTGCTAATGATTTGATTACACCTGGGACCAGAATCACCAAGAACACCATTGATCTCACGCTACACTGTGATGGACTAAAGTCTTGCAGCACTACCAAGGTCCCCCTGTTCAAGAAGCCTCATGCACATGCGCAACCTAAGTTTGCCCATGAACAATGATTCAGAAAAGGCTAGGGAGAAAGTGCCAAAACTGAGCTCCAATCACCTGCTGTGATTTGAAAGTTGAGTTGAAACTATGAGTTGAAACTATGAGTTTCTAAGCAGCAGCCACGAAACCTAAAAGATTTAGTTTCTGTAAACAGGAGTGGACCAAAATCCACCTGTTGACCAACTACAGGAACTACAGTCTTACTGACTGTTCGCCAACAAGGGTTTCTTCGCCAAGTATTAAGTCATGTTTTTTGATCGAATACGTATTTCACTCAATGACATGCAAATTGATTTAAATAACCTTTATGCAGTGTTGATATTCTGTCTCTCTCCATTAAAATGAAACTATCATAAGAATTAGAGACAGTTTGTTTCTTTGGAAGTAGGGAAACTTTCAGATTCACCATGGGATCAAATAATTGTTTCCCCGACTGTAGATTGTGTAACCTATTTTCTGTACTGCACGTGTGAAAGCTATTCAGTTTTGGCTGTAGATGTAAATGTAAATTCACCACGATGCCACTGTTATTAGAATACGCATAATCAGAAAGAAAATGGGTTTTTCTTTCATGTATTTCTGCCCTGACATATTGCCAAGCTCGAGACTGTATTTACACTCCCATGGTTTCACACTTACACATTTCTACCTAGCCTCGTTCCCACCTTTGCAGCATATACTGGCAACCTTTTCCACTTTCTCTGTGGCTAAATCTTTGCAAAGCTTCAATAATTCACTATAAGCACAACTTCACCACGCGAGGTGGAGCGGAAAAGTACTTTGAAAACTTCTTATTGGTTCATTTCTGTGGAAAAATGATATTCGTTTGAATTATTTATAAGAATCGTTTGATAAAAGTAAACTGCCCTTCAACATTTGTTGACCTCCTCGTAACCCGTTATGATAATTACACTTGCAGGTGAATTCGGAGCCTTTTGTGTCTGCCTCTGATCAAATGTCATTTATCCTTTATTTTCTCTTCACTCTGCAGCCCTGCAGCTACAATCAGATCACTGTGTGGATCCTGGCATCCCCGTCAACGGGCAGCGACACGGGAACGACTTCTACGTCGGAGCTTTGGTGACATTTAGTTGCGACGCAGGGTACACGCTTAGTGACTCTGAGCCATTAGAATGTGAACCCAATTTTCAGTGGAGTCGCCCCCTGCCTAGCTGTGATGGTACGTTCCATAATATTGACCTAGAAATGAATGGTCCCCCTGCCAGATTTCTCCCCACTCATAAATGGGATTAAAGCTAAAGTCATTGTTGTGTGTTGTTAGAGATGAAACATGAGAAATCATTTTAAGCACTTTGCTTCATATTGCATCACATTTAAATAGCTATATATTCCTGAGTTATTATAAAATCCATATGAGATGATAACATTTCTTTCAAGGACTCTTGTTTTAGACTTTAAAAGTTTCTGCTTCATTTCATCAGAAATGTTTTATATGTGCGGCAGTGAACATACCCTTTGATGTTTCCCTTTTTCCTCGTCTGTAAATGCTTTTATATTTAAGGACAGTATTGATTCTCCCGTCCTGTTTGTAATGATATTGTTAACATCCACTCGGTCTTTTTGTGTGCCATCTTGAAGGGCACATCTTGGAAAATGCATTCATCCACATTGGAATTGCACAGACGGTTTTAGCATTTATTTATTTATTTTTGGGGAACGTTATTTCTGTCTTCGTGTCCTCTCTGATTTTGCTTCTGCGCTCATCTCTCTCCTTCATCCATCTTCCACTGTTTCCATTCGTCCCGCGTCACCAGCATTGTGTGGAGGTTACATCCAGGGCAACGCCGGCACCATCTTGTCTCCCGGCTTCCCAGACTTTTACCCGCATAACCTGAACTGCACGTGGATGATCGAGACCTCCCACGGCAAAGGTTAGCAGAGAAATTCTGTGTCGACACATGCGGCAGTCAAATTCAATTTCTGTTACAATGTCATTTCCCTCTACTGAGTGGCCTTTTTATTTTGCCGAACAAGCTGTCTTTGTAAGGCCGGGCTGCTGAGAGGCTGGCCTAAGGCTACGGCGCCATGGGATGATTCTCCAGCCTTTGGTCGAGCACTCATATCAAACTGACTGAGCCTTATTTGCAGATGCTTTATCTGCACAGGTGCAGCTGTGTTTGGAAAAGGATAGGGAATTTGTACTGAATGTGTTATGATATAGAAAATATTGTGTTTTCAATGTTTTTTTTTCCACCTTCATGATTATTATGTATGTGATGTTTATTATTATGCATATATAAGTTATGTAAAGATTTAAAAAACCCAAACATTTCAACAATGGCTCTTTCATCTCCTCGTATTCAGGTGTCCAGTTCACCTTCCACACCTTCCACCTTGAGAGCCCTCACGATCATTTATTGGTGACAGAGAACAGCAGCTTCTCTCAGCCACTTTGGAGGCTGACGGGCTCCACCTTGCCTCCGCCTCTCAGCGCAGGGCTGTTTGGAAACTACACAGCACAGATCCGCTTCCTGTCTGACTTTTCCGTTTCGTATGAGGGATTCAACATCACCTTCTCTGGTGAGAATAAATTTAGTTTTACGGATTTAAAGCCTTCTGAACTGTTTTTTGTCTTTTTTTGTTTGACTTCACAATTTTAAAAAGTACATTTTCTGCAAATGAATGAAAACATATGCCATATCAGATAAATATAGGACAGTCTGCTATGACTTATCATCACTTTTTCTGTAATCCTACTCATTTATCGTGTACTTTCACTGGTCTGGTTCGGCCTTGTTAAGATCAAAGTGGGCTGCATGTGCCCCAGAACGTAAAATCTCTGCTTTAGAACATTAATCATGCATTTCTTCATGTATTTTTAATAATTATGGTTTCTGAAAAAGTTATTGATACAAACAGTCCTCTGGAAATCTGTGATTACATGTACTCAAGAATGAATAGTAAAATAGGTTAACACCAAGAAAACGGACTCATTTTAAATGAATAAAGTAGAAACGAGCACTAATGACCCTTTACCTACTGAGAGCATAATTTACCTCCTTTGTTCTCACAGCATTTCTAGATTTGAACATTAGGACGCCGAAGAAAGAGATTCTTATAAAATCTAATGAGATGTTATTGATGGCTTAAAATAGCAAGTGTGAATTCTTATCAGTGGCTGAATGGACGAAAGATTTAATGTTTGGAATGGTTTCATTACTTGCAAAGTCCCTTTGAAGGCTCTGCTTGAATAATCTTAATAAATGACATATGGGCTTCTGATCCTTAGACGTGAACTTGGGTTTAGAAGAAAAGTGTCATATTTCAGAAGGTTTAGCCCTCTTTTACTTTTTGAAATATTTTCTTAACTTTCCTAGCATGACAGAAGTCTTAATTAGCCCGTTTCACACATTTACACATCGCAGATAAAAAGCCCCACACAGACAAAACTGTTATTACACTTTCTTTACTTGCCAGTGCTGAAGATTCATACTTTTTTCTCTCTATTTTCCAGATTATGATTTGGAGCCGTGCGAAGATCCTGGAATTCCACCTTACAGCACCAGAAAGGGATTGCAGTACGGAGTGGGCGATGCCCTCATCTTCTCTTGTTTCCCAGGTTACCGACTGGAGGGTCCAGCGAGGGTGGTCTGCTTAGGGGGCAGGAGGCGGGTGTGGAGCTCCCCTCTGCCAAGGTGTGTTGGTAGGTGGTCACATGCTTTATTTTGGCTTTTGTCACTTCCCCGCCTCCCCACCTCTCTAATCTCCCAATGCCATGCCAGCACATTAGCCTTCCACACACCCCCACAATTAAGAAATGTACAGAAGTGTCAGTCACGTTAGACAGCGAGGCATTCCCCTTTCAAATCTCCTCATTATCATCCCTCCATACACACAAGTTTTGTCTCTTCGTTGGATAGCTTCCCAGAAACTGAGCTTTTTTTTTTACTTTGTCCAAATTACATAGTGCCACCGTTCTAATGAGGACAGCATTAAACAGCTTAAATATGTTAATTATTGATCGTGCTTGTTGCTAATGCATGTGAAACATGTTGGGTCAGACTGCGAAGATGTAGGTCAGTGTGTTGATTCTGTGATGCAGCAAACCTTAATGGGCATTTAGGCTCTGATATGAAAATGAATGCATCTTAATGCTCGTAACGATAATGATAGGTGCATCAGTGACCATGGCAATCGTTGACCTACTTGTGTTTGTCCTCAGCGTGGCAGCTTTTAATAAACTAAAAGCACCATTAAAATGGAACTTAATGTGGAAACACTGGAAACTGCACGAATTACTTTATTTGCACATTCAATTTATTTTTTGTGTCTAAACTCGGAACGTAATTGGAACCGCAGATAATTTAACACGCTGCTGAAAACGAGCAATTAGACTCGAGTGAATAGCGTGATGGTGACGTCACAGTGCATTTCGGTTAATACATGATTTGTTTCTAAATGTTTGCTCGCAGAGTTTAGGCGTGTGTAAAGTAGGTCAGTCAATTTCCTGACAAAAACCTGCTCGCTCTGCTTTCTGTTTAGTTGTCTGAAGCTTTGGCTGCTGGTTTTCGGTTTGCCCTCCAGATGAATTCAGGTCTTTGAAGGATGGCACCAGAGACACATTTTGATATTTTCATACTGCTATCACTCTCAACCTCATTTTAGAAACTTGATTCTTCTCCACATGCCTCCAAGACAGCCCCATCACCTTACCTCATCTTACTTGGGTGCATTCTCAAAGTTAAAAAAGGAGGGTGCCTTTGTGGCCATTTAAATTCTGGCTGCCATTTTTTTAAGAGAAAACTTTGTCTTCCCCCAAGTTTCCCCCCCTGATGTGATTCAGAAAAAGTAATTTTCAGATAGAGCTGAAATTAGTGTTAATCATATTCAGATTGCAGTGTGATTATGATGATGTGCCACTCAACATTCAGGTTTAGTCAGTGACCATATTCCTCTCCCCATCACCTCTCCCATCTCCCCGCGCATGACAGCATGAATAAATACACTCGGAGTTTCAAGCATATAGCGATTGACATGTCCTCTGCTCTCTCCAACACCACCACTACCACCACCTCTTTCTCTCTCTCTCTGTCTGTCTCTGCTCTCTTACTTTTTCTCTAGCTGAATGTGGTTCATCCGTGACTGGTATGCAAGGGGTGCTGCTCTCACCCAACTACCCCGGTTACTACGGCAACAACCACGAGTGCATCTACTCCATCCAGACGCAGCCTGGCAAAGGCATTCAGCTACGGGCACGGGATTTCAGACTGGAGGAGGATGACATACTCAAAGTGAGAGGGTGGTGGGAGTTGTATCCTCCCCGTGTCTGTATGACGCCTTGTTAGCATATCTGCGTGCGCGCACCTGCTTCTCCTAATTCCAATACTTCCTCCCACTCTCTCTCTCTCTCTCTCTTCCGTCCAGGTCTTTGATGGAAGCAGTAATAAGGCTCGCCTGCTGGGGGTGTTTACAGGCAACGAGCTGCTAGACACAACCCTGAACTCCACCTCCAGCTCTATGTGGCTCGAGTTCATCAGCAATGCGGATAACACCAGTAAAGGCTTTGAACTACACTTCACCAGTAAGTAACTCACTCTGTTGTGCACACAAATACAATGTACTTTTTTTAAAAATTCAGAGTCTTTTGAGTGTAGTTTGTGCTTGCTTTGTCCAATTTTTTCTTTGTTGCCTTTGGCGCATTAAAAGCACAACAATTCTTTCTTTCTTCTCCGTCCGAATTTGCCTCTTTTTTACCTCTCGCTCTCTGCTAAAGGTTTCGAGCTCGTGAAATGCGAGGATCCAGGTGTTCCCCAGTTTGGCTACAAGCGGGAGGACAAGGGTCATTTTGCAGGGAGCATCGTGTCTTACAGCTGTGACCCGGGCTACACCCTGAAAGGTCCCGAGGTGCTCACCTGCCTGAGGGGCGAAAGGAGGGCTTGGGACAGCCCCCTTCCACTCTGTGTTGGTGAGTATGATCGTTTTGAATTTGGCTGGAGATTTTTGAAGTTTGAAGTTTTGAGACAGCAAAGACTTTAGCCAACTGGGTGCTCTGTTTAGATTTGCACTGCATTTTTATAAGTTTGTTTTGTTTTGTTTTATTTAACCCAGGTTTTTGACATCTTAACATGCTAAATTCAACTGTTGCATACATGAATAATTACGTACTTCAATGCAAAAATAAAATAACTAAGGCTGAAAAAACTGCTTTCTGTCAGACACTGTTGATGCACACAAGGTGTCCTTTGGTGCCGGTGCCATTATGTACCAGACATAGCAATGATGGACATAGAGAGATAAGTTAAAGCGGTACCAGTCACTTGTTTACCCTCTGGAAGACTTTCATTTGTAGGTAAAGTTTTTGAGGGGGGGTTGTTATTTTGAGTAGGGAGGTTTGCCCGTCCTTTTTATTTTCACTTTCACTCGCTGGTTAAATGGTAAATGGACTGTTTCTTAAATAGCACTTTCTTACTCGAGCACTCAAAGTGCTTTATACAACATGCCTCATTCACACTTGCATTCATACAAGCACATTTTTTCTACCTCTGAGTTCTTTCTATCTAGCATATACACTCCAATCAACACAGTAAAAGTGACTTCAAGTTTAATATTTTGGAAAAGGATACTTTGACATGCAGACTGGAGCAACCGGGGGTCAAATCAACAACCTTTCGATCAGCGGGTGACCTACTGTACCTCGTGAGCCAAAGCCACCCCTGAAGCTACGTTAGTTTAGCAACCAAGATTACTTGGTAAACTTTAGGAAAATATTGTGATTTCTATTAAAATACTTCCAACTCAGTCCTAATGTTGTTAGGGGCCATCATAGCTGTATCTCAGCATCAGTGGTCTGTGAGAATTTGGGGGAATTTCAGGGACATAAAAAAGTTATTTGAGCAATAAGGAGTAAAAAGAAAAAAAAAAAAGCTATTTAAACAATGATAGACATGATTGAGTGATCTGGAGTGAAAAAACTAAAACTGTCTCAGAAATGTGGTGAAGTGGACCTATAAAATATAATATAAATAGATATGTTTCCATATTCAAGTGCAGTGTGTAAGAGCATGACATGTTGTGTAGTATCACATACTTTTGCATCAGTCTATGGTATCATGTCTTTGTGTAATTCCCTTTTCTTCCATTGCTATTTGTTACAATATATTGTATTAAAATCAGGCAAAGATTTCCAGTTAAAGTAGCATTATGTGTTGCATCCTCATATATTACAGCATTTATCTGTGTTTTCTTTATAGTTTGCACGGCTAATCCAAGCCGGCTTCAGTTTTTTTAGCTGATGTATGACCTAGTTCCTCTTCCTAATAACAATGTGAATATACCAGTTTGGAAAAAAAGCTCTGTGGTTTGTTTTAGTGCTGCTATTCTGGGGCATCCATTTGGTTGCTTTCCCAGCAATTCAGTGCATTATCTCATCCAAAATGACTGTGCTCTATTTTTTCTTTTTATATTCCTATTGCATCATGATTGCAAATTCCCCCTTTCACTCTGTTTTTTTTTTTTTTCTAAAAAAAGACACTATATCAGCAGCAACCCTGAGCCCAGGAAGCAAGGTTTTAACCCCCCTGTCTGTACTCTGAAGACTTTCAAAAATGTGTTTGATGGAGATAATTTCATGAAAGTTTAGCGGAAGATCCCTCTATTTTATTTTCAGAGTTCATCTACAAGTCACCTGTCACTTATTGCCAGCCACCGCAGACACTGTATGCATATATTCTGGCACACAGACATATAGATATATATATAGTATCATGCTAACCCACCCAGAGCCATTTTTTGGACATTGTCAGGAAGAAAACCAGGGAGACAGGCGTTCTTTGACATCAGCCAAGGTGATTAGAATAGTGTTGCTCTGCTCCCTTTCCGAACCAAACTGACAGGTAATTTCATGTCTGGATATAAACAACATTCGCCAAACTGTATTTCCCCGAACACGTTTGTCCTCCCGATGCTCCTTTCACTGCAGATGATAGCTTAACATCCGGAGTGAATTTAGGAGCAGATGTGGGACTGTTTCTGCTTGTAATGGTGGGATTATTTTCTCGCAGTGAGGACACACTGAGCACAGATGGGGAGGGTATAGCGGGAAGGGCCAGGAAGGAGAATGGAGTTTAAAAAAAAAGGGGGGGGGGGGGGGGGGGGGGGGGAGTTTGGTGTATACTGAAAGTCACAGAAGAAGAAATTTGCAAGGTTGAATCTCACACAGAAGCTCCGATGTGGACACCAGGATGTTATTATTGTTATGTTTGGGTATGTGTGCACATCTAATGTCATTCAAAAATGATAGCCCACTACACAGAAAACGAGAGAGAGAGAGAAATTCCATATTTGCAAAGCAGCACTACATGACTTCATGGGTTTCATTTGTGATCATACTGAAAAAGCATTCTGGGAAAAAAATGAAAAAAATAAAACCACTAAGGCTGAGACTGAGACAAAGGGAAGAGACGCTGAGCTGAACTTTGATGAATGTGGGGGCAGATTGAAGGGGTAGAGTGGTTCGGGGAGTTATACTGCTATGGCAGCATTGAGCAGTAGTTTCTTAGGTCATAAGGCAAGAAGAAAGCGATGGCTTTGTCTTACTGTGATAGATCACTGCCTTTTCAATCCACGAAACAGCAAGTTTTCTTCAGCACAAAAAAAGGATAAGGGGTAGGAAAAGCTTGAAAATAGACTGAAAGCCTCAGCAGGAGCGTGAAGAATGATATGTTCATATTTTTATTTTTTGGGTAAATGGCCTGTATTTGTATAGCGCTTTACTTAGTCCCTATGGACCCCAAAGCGCTTTACACTACATTCAGTCACACACACATTCACACACTGGTGATGGCAAGCTACATTGTAGCCACAGCTGCCTTGGGGCACACTGACAGAGGCGAGGCTGCCGGACACTGGCACCACCAGGCCATCTGACTACCACCAGTAGGCAATGGGTGAAGTGTCTTGCCCAAGGACACAACGACCGAGACTGTCGGAGCCGGGGCTCGAACCGGCAACCTTCCGATTACAAGACGAACTGCCAACTCTTGAGCCACAATTGCACCACATCTTAATGTTTTTAAGAAACGTTTAACTATGGTGATCGTTGTTACTTAAATGTACACCAGTCAGGGATAACATTATGACCACCTGCCTAATATTATGTTGGTCCCGGTTTTGCTGCTATAACAGCCATCACATGTTGAGACATGGACTCCACTAGACCCGTGAAGGTGTGCTGTGGTATCTGGCACCTAGATGGTATTGACAGAACCTTTAAGTCCTGTAAGTTGTGAGATGTTGCCTCCATGGATGTTTGTCAAAGAAACATCCACAATGATGGCTCGACCCAAGGTTTCCCAGCAGAACATTGCCCAAAGCATCACACTGCCTCCGCCAGCTAGTACACCCTGGTGTTTTCCAGGTAAACGACGCACATGCACCCAGTTAGCCACATGATGCAAAAGAAAACAGAATTTATCAGACTAGGCCAAGTTTTTCTATTACTCCGTGGTCCAATTCTGATGCTCACATACTCATTGTTGGGGCTTTTTCAGTGCACAGAGGTCAGCATGAGCACCCAGATTGGTCTGCAGCTATGCAGCCCCAAACAAACTGCGATGCTCTGTGTCTATTTTGGCACCTTTCTATCAGAACCAGCATGAACTTTTTCAGTAGTTCGAGCTACAGTAGCTCATTCGTTGAATCGGACCACGCAGGCCATCACTCAGCATTAGTTTACCACTGTTACTTTTGATAGATACTGCACCGCAAACCAGAAACACCTCAGAACAGCTGCAGTGTTGGAGATGCTCTGACCCAGTCATCCGGCTATCACAATTTGGTCAAACTCGCTCAAATTGTTGTGCCTGCCCATTTTCCTCGTTTCTAATACATCAACTTTCTGGAAAAACTTTTCATTTGCTCCCTGATATATTCCATGATAAATGGGATATTTGGAGATAAAGTATCTGAATTTCAGCAGCGGGACCACACCTCCAAGCACACTCTCTCCGGTTCTTATCTATGTATGATCCCCCAGTTTTACCCCACTCTCTCTCCCGTTTTCAATTCTTTCACTTCTATTTAGTACATGGGGATCTGCCAGGCTCGGCTCACTTCACCTTTATCTACTAAAATGCTGTCAAAGCTAAAGTGAGGACGTGGGCCATTATGTTATGCCTGTTTGGTGTATAATGTACTGTATAAGGAGGTTTGAAAGACAGAAATATATTTGTTTGCATTTAGAAGAAATGACATATTTGCAGCATAAAAGGTAACAAAGTATTTTTGTCTGTTTGTGGAGAAATCGCAGCTTCTCCCTCTCTGATGGTCAGTTTGTAAAGTACTACAATCTTATGTTAATTTAAGTGCTCCTGCAGTCAGTCCCCCTTTCCCCCCCCTTCCTATTCTCTGTTTTTCTCCCTGCGTGTCTGTGTTTAGTTGCTGTATTGAAGTACAAGGCTTACTTGTCACTGATGGATTTCACAGACCATCATCACCATCATCATCAGTATGATTTCCAGACCTCAATTTTCCTTCTGTTTGAAGGATCCATTTTTCTCTCAGGGGAAGGAAAAGAAACACGAGCCACTTTTAACTTGTCAGTTACAGTGGCCTCACAAAACGGGAACAAAAAAAACACTTAAAATCTGATGTTAAACATTTTTTCTCTTCTTTTTTTTCATTCAGAGTAATTTGTGGTAATTGAAGGAAGGGCTGAAAATTGCTTTTCAGTCATAGTATTTCTGAAAGCACTTTATTACTTAAGTTACTGGAAAAGAACCCGATTTTGTTCCCCTTTTTCTTGACAGATTGTTTTGGCGCTCCGATTTTTGCTTTGCTGTTTCCCAGAATGTGTTTTTGTGTTGACAAATTTCTAGAGACTGAGTTTATGTTGGTTATGTTTTGTGAACTGTGATATGATACTAGAGAGATCCTACTGACTGCAGCCACTAGTACTAAACACACACTCATAACAATGGCACTCATCTGATGAGCAAGTCATTCACAGCCTATCGTGTTGCGCACCTATACTTTTGTTTGACACTCTTCACACTTCCTTAAAAGTGGCAGTGAACTGGAGTATGATGAATTGAATATTGTGTTGTTCAGTCAATAATTCCATCAGCTTTCAAAGATGAGATCACGGTTAAGATGGTGAATTGCCTTTGCTGAGCCAAAGAGACACAGAGTGTATTGAGTTGGCCGCTCTCCCTCCTATCATTCAAATTTCTAACTACATGATGGAGTCTGTCACATTGGAGGATTTGACTGCTATGTCAATAATTAATAATGATGAGAGGGAAGCGATGAGCTGTACTTTACTGGAAGTGCAGTAATGCAACTTTTGGTCTGTTAAGTATGCTAACCTTTGTTGTAGCAATCATTATTAACTTCTTTTATTCCCCCTCGCTGCTTTCACTCTACTTTTCAGCCGAGTGTGGGGGGACCATCAAAGACGAGCCTTCCGGTCGTATCCTCTCTCCGGGCTACCCGGCACCATACGAGCACAACCTGCACTGCATGTGGACCATCGAGGCGGCCCCAGGAAGCACTATAAGGTCTGAACAACAGTCCTTGGTTTCTTTTTTTTTTTTTTTTTTTTTTTGCTCTCAGTCTAGTTTTCTGATTACATTGTTTTTTACAGGCTTTCGTTCAATCCACCACCTTTCAATATACTTCCAATTTAGCCCAGCCCCCTTTTGCAGTGGTATTCATCACTTTCACAGGCTGCTGTGTAATCAATCTTCAGTGAGCTACTGTTGGCCAACAGCTGAGTTACAACTGGTTGAAAGGAAATGCGTCCTCTGAGTCTAAAGATGTCAGACTACAAAAAAAAAGCAAGTCAAGCGCTCTGAGTTTTTGAGAGATCTTGCAGGTTGTATTGGTTTTGATACATTCCTTGTTTGATACTTTTGCACTTTTGATCAATAGAAACTTAAGTTTATATTCAGTATTTTCATCGTTTCACCCCCTGGTGTTGTCAGTCTGTTAATGAAACTATTTGCTCTTCTTTACCTCGCCTCACCTCGTCTTACCTCCATAATTCAATACGTAGCCATTACTCTTGCCCTTGGAGGAAGGAAAAACACCTTCAGGCTTCTGTGTGCTTGTTTAATCACTCAATTTGTGTTCTTATAAATGTAAGATTGCGCAAGAGTTTACTGAGTTCTTTTGAGCCTGCAGTGTCACAACAAAACATTTTACACATGGTGAGGTCATTAGGATGTTAAAGCCATGGTCATGGTAAAAAGAAAGTGCATTTTCTATAAATTCTAAGGTTTTATATCTCAGGGTAAAAAAATAATCTGGTCCTTGCCAAGTCTTAAAATTGTATATACACACGTATATGTGTGTGTGTGTGTGTGTGTGTGTGTGTGTGTGTGTGTGTGTGTGTGTGTATTATATACATACATACAATGGTATAGATATATTGAATGGTATAGAAATTTATCATTTATTCAGAATAGCACTGGATAACTGGATCAGTGTGCTGTGATGGAGCATCAATTAAATCTGATAAAATAATCGTGTAAGCCTCATGGCACAGTGTACTTCAGCCTCTGGGAGAATCCCCTAAATCCATAGGTACACAATAAAAAGGTTCAAGTGGGAGATCTATGATCTCTTATCACTAATTGGATAAACTTCCACTACAAGATCTCATACTAATCCTAATAATGTATATCATGCCTAATGCATCTTTATATATGCACTACACTGTTATTTGATGTGTGCCTCTGTATTCCAGTATACTTGAACTGACATAAATCATAACTGATGAGGAGTAATATCTAGTCACAAATATAGACAACAACACTCATCCAAACACAACAGCAGAGGTTTTGCCGTAGTGTTAATCCTTTTAATGCGTCACTTTTAATCGTGCCACTCTTCCTTGTTTCAGGACTTCTGTGTTTTTGTTTGGTTAGTGTCTGATTCATATCTATTTTCCATCCCAAACAATGCAAACATGTCTTTAAAAAGACATGTTCGGCATGTCGTCATCGTAGATTTGTGTATGCGTGAATGCCGCTGCATATCTTGAACATCTGACATTCCCAGGTCCCTCATGATTGCTAGTTTAGGTTCATTAGTGTCGTCCCTTCCTCTGGCTCCCTGGCATTCCTCTAGAAGGTATGCTCTGGCTCATGTCTTTGATCCTACGCATGAAATTCATTATTGAGAGGAATTTGCAATGCATTAGCCCAGGGATTCCTTGTGTATCATGTGGTGTAGCTGAAGGTAGCACACTAATCAAACTGTACTGAGTATGTGTGAGAGACCAGAAGTTGTGCTGAGTGACCGCTTACATATATACAGCCTAGAGACAAGGTTACCTGGGGACATTGATGGAATTAAAATATAGGTAGGAAGCAAAGAGTGGATTATAGACATGAAGAGATAATAACAAGATCAAATGAACTGCGATGATAAGGGAGGCAATGAGCCATTTTACTGAGGTAACATTCAGTGGTTACTGCTGCAGACCACATAGTAAACTTAACAACGAAGCTGTAAATGTTCATCTTAAACACAGTGTTCAGTAAGAAAACATATACTCTAATTTGTATTTATGATATTGAACTTGGTTTTAACTGTTCGCAAGGCATCAGTGCTATAATTGGAATAAAGGATAAATCTAAGAAGAAAATAAATGTGGTCAGCCTCATCCCCCTGCATCAAATATTGCAGTTCTGTCAATTCAATTCAATTCAGTTGAATTCAGTCTTATTTACAGCATCACATCACAACAACGGTCACCTCTAGGCACTTTGTATTATAAGGTAAAGACCCTACAATAATACAGAAAAAAAAACAATCAGGCAAGCTGCTATGAGCAAGCATTTGGTGACAGTGGGGAGGAAAAACTCCCTTTTAACGGGGAGAATCTTCCGACATACTCAGACTCGGAGAAGGGCAGCCATCTGTCGATTCCAGTTGGGGTTGATGGGAGGAAGACAGGACAAAAGATATGTTGTGGAGATTAGTAATAACTCATGATTAAATGCAGAGTGGTGTATACACACAAAGAGTGAAAAGTGGTGAAAAAAGAAGAAACAGTAAATCATGGCAAACCCCCAGCAGTCGATGCCTATTGCAACATAACTAAGGGAAGGTTCAGTCTCACCTGATCCAGCCCTAACTATAAGCTTTATCAAAAAGGAACGTTTGAAGCCTAATCTTAAAAGTAGGGGTGTCCTAACCTTTACACAGAAGAGGGTCTGAAAGGTCTGTCTCCTACTTTTAAATACCCGAGGAACCACAAGCAAGCCTGCAGTCTGAGAGCAAAGTGCTCTGTTGGGGTGACATGGTACTGATTTCACAACATGTATGTGAGCAGAAGGATTTGGCGTCAGTGATAACACAAGCTATTATTTGGTGTTGGTGCACCAACCTCTGCACTGCTGGAGACAAAAAGATAAGTCTTCTTAGTCAATAATGCTCTTTCACGGTGTAACCATGACACTTACCCACTTTACAAGCATCCATATGTGAGTTTAGAGTGACAAACCTGTCACCTCACCATTACCATAAACTCACCACATCAAGGCATCAATACCAAAGGACACTTTGCGCTTGTCTATAAGATGCCAGAACGATGACGAAATGGGAATGATAACAGGCTGGGTACCATGAGGTGGGGGTTTTTTTTATTTGGGGGGGGGGGGTCTTCAGCCTCTGCTTTTATCTCACTGATTCATTTTCCAATGTCTTTCATACCTTTTCCTGCCTAAGAATAATTGCAACCTTACTTTCTTCTGCATGATAACACTGCTTACATGCTATTACATCATGTGCCTCACAGTAAATGAACTGGACAAAGATCGCCGTGACCGCAGAGTTTTTCAGGTGTCCAGCCGGCGAAGAGATGCCGACCGCACTGTCTCGTTTGTTCCGTCTTTTTTAAAGCCTGCTGTATAAATGCGTCTCCATCCTGATGAATGATCCCACAGGGACAGTCCCACAGAGGCCACATTTACACTTATTGATGAGGTTAGCTTTCACTGTGACATTTGCTTTATACACACGCTCTCAATTAGTTTTAAAAAAAGAGTTGCAGGAGTGTGTTCGCTCTACATCTCTTTTCTTTGTCATTCCCTTCACACCACACATATCCATACACATCCGCACATACTTACTTATTTATCATCTTCATGCACGCATGCACCTACTCTGAAGACTCCCCACAGGACTTTTGATTGCAGCTAGACTGTTTTGTATTCATATGAGAGATTCTCGACACTCTCTATTTCTATCATATGAATACAAAATAGTTAAGGAAGAATCAAAAGAGACCTAAGAAATCTCTTCCATCCTTCTCTTCTCCATCTCGTCTCCTCGCGGCGATTCCTCTGACACTTGATTGAACCATTTTATCTTGCTAAGAGGGGACTGAGTGTAAAAGGAGACCCCTCACCGTAAACTTCAAAACATGGTTCTCTGTGATTCCACAAAACGTTAACTGCACGCAGAGATCCAAATTTCCTTTTCCTTAGCGAGATAAACTGTAATACCCACTTTTCTCAATATGTTGCTTCATTCATCTTTCTTGTACCTCACTCCCGCCCCAACCCCCGCAAAGTACTTGAGTTAAGTGGGGAGGCTTGCTTCCTAGTTGGAAAGTAACATTTGTCTTCCTGGTCCTGGTCCCTCTGGAAAAAAAAAAAAATCAGGGAATAGTCAAAGAAAAATGCCTGCCAGGAGGATTGGTTCTTTAAAAGACGAGTACATTCTCAATGGTCTTGCACGTGTTCTTCTGAGAGCTCTAATGTCAGCATGTGTTCTTACAATCGTCCTGCAGGACTCTTACTCTCTTTCTGTATTCTAGATGTCACTCTCTTCGCATCCCTCACATGTGAGTGTTCATTCCTGACTCAGAAAAAAAGATGCGGTATTCAGATGCTCTATAAAAGAAACCAGTTATCCCGACATGCACCCCAACGTCCATCCTATCAATTCAACTGCTCATCCTTATATCCAGAGCTTCCTTTGCTTGCCATCAACTTCTTATTCTCCTGCTAGTATTCTCTTCTTCCAGCAACCCAGCAATGATTAACATTGATCGTGTGTTTGCTCCTTGTTTCATTACACCTCTGTCTTTCCACACACCATTCCTTCTTTTATTTAACACACACATCTGGAAATCGAGAACAATGCTATTAAACAGCTTGGTTGACTTAAGGCATGAGATTCTTCTACACGTGAGTTGGTCCAACACGTGACTTGTGCTTGATTCTGACATTCTGGATTAGGCAAATCCCCCACTCCCAAAAAAACCATTATGCTCAAGCACAAAATCAATATTGTCTCAGTACACACACACAAGAACAAGAAGGCAGATGCCCATAGATATATTTGAAGAAAAAATATTTTTTTGGTTTTATTCATTTATTCAATCTGGCAAATTCAGTGAAACATTTCAGCATCTCCTGTCTAAAGTATGGGGAGGTGGAGCGTAAGTGGATCATAGTACCTGAGGGTTTCATAACAGCATTTGCATAACAAGCATCTAAATGCCAGAGGCACGTACATGACCAGGATGGAGACCTTTGAACACAGTCTTTGTTTGCTTAAAGTGAAGGGAATAGTCAGCATGCGGAATATTAGCAGAGCAACACTCGAACTACTACAAATATAATGACGCTTAGGGTCATGTGAGAAATGCTTCAGTAGATCATCGCAATTGTGGCATGTGCAAAAGGTTTGCTTACTTACACCTGTGAGCTGTCAAGGAGAGTCGCTTTCTTGTGCTGCTGCACTTCAGAGTCAATTGTCCTGCTCAAGTGCTCTTCAGCAGGAGTTGATTTAAAAAAAAAAGGTCACACTTACACCCACGTTTTGATTCAAACCACTGAAAGTTTGAGATCTGTTTCATCAGACTTTTGTTTGCAGTGGCAGCAGCCTAAAGAGGTCTTTTTTTTCTTCTTTCTTTTTTTGTTTAGCGTTAATAAAAATGTAAAGGTTTGACTCTAACAGAAACAGAAAAAATGTAAAGATGTCTCATCTATGCATTTGTAATATTAGCATTTTAGCAGCAGAGAGCTTAGCAGGGAAATGAATACCATGAGAAGGAATGATATTTATTCCAGTTTCTTATCATAGGAAAGGTTGTGTTGTGAATGTGATGCCATACCAATATTTATTCATGTGTGGTGCTAAGCCCAAAAGTTCTGATGAAGGTCACAAACAAAAAGAAGCTCATAACTAGGATTTGCCAGTGAAAAATCCTTGTGCAACTTTACTTTTCACTATTCAGCATTGAGGCATATTATGATCCTTTAGCAGATTCTGAGAAAAATCTCAGAAATTCTATCGCTAAAGTTTATAACTTTAGTGATAGATTAGAGTGGTACATTTAGGAGAAGAAACTCACAATTTTCTAAGAGCCATGCCAACAATAAGTGTTTTTACCATTAGCAGACAGTGGTGTAAAAATAAGTGACATGTGCATCAGGATTTATAGCATTTTAATCCGAGAGTATTATATCACATTACTCACAAAGGCTCCAGTGCGCCTGATAAATGTAGCAGGTTTACGTCCGTGTGTTCGTATCTGTGTAAAAAGCATCAAAGCTTATGTAAGACTATGTAATGCTGCGTGTCCTTTAAAATAGCTATCGGTGTTCATTTATGTGAGTATTTACTGGTCCGCCTGTCTGCACATGTTTGTTTTATGTGCACTTCTTTCACAAGCATTGCGACAGCACTTGTCAAGTAGGTTACGTACAGTATCCACACACACACACACAGACACACACGGCACATTGTGCGGGTAGCCTCTGGCTGCTGCTCACACATCAGACAGTATGGGAATCGGAGTCTGACACCAATTATGCAGAAACGGTGGGAACTTGTTGCTAAACCCGACATATCAGTGGGTTGCTGTTTCTCCTCTGCATCATCTATACCTCAAGGCTCTGTGTGGGTCTGTGTGTAAAGCCATGAGAATAGTAAAAGCACATGAAGTACCATGATCCCCAGCATTCACAGGATACTGGGAAACAGATTACCATTCAAGTCACAGATTTTTTTTTTTCTTTAAAAAGTGAGCACTGGTAAAATTTATAGAAATTTAAAGCTCGCGTAAGATTCTTCACAAAACAGAAATATACACACCTCTACAAATAGTTTTCTTTAAAACAAATGAACTTAAGTGCAGCATAAGCATTATATTCCAATAACTTTAACTTCAGAATGCAGCTGTTTGCTTTGCATTAATGCTATAATTATTTAAACATGGGGGAAAGTGTCAGGAATTTGCCTCGGTCCAAAATGTTTGTTAGAGAATTAGCATAAAGTTGTTTTTTCTGGTGGATTTTCAAGTTAATTTCCCGCTAAAGTTTTGCACCACCATTTAGTATTTTCTGACATTTTTGCACCATAACTTATATCCACACACAAACAAACACAAACGGCACATGTGCGGGTAGCCTCTGGCCTGTGCACATCCGAGCTCTTATTGAAGGTGTATCGGTGAATTTGTATAAGTAGTGCGCTTGAAGCAACATTAGAGACTGTGTTTCTATTGCTGCAGCGCATTAGAAGACAAATAAACTGTGCGATAAATGCTTTTATTCTGTGTCAGCACAACAGTTTAGCACATCCTCATTACTTTATAGTCACCTATTTTGAAGGCTTGCCAGACAGCAGTGTGTTTCAGAGCGAGAGAAGAAAAAATCAAAGCAACAATTTAAATGATCATAAATACACGTTTGAGTCTCTCTTGCAGGGTAAAGCTGCAAAGTCAACAAATGCCATCTGATCTAGCTTGCACTACTTTGTGCCCTTTTACTCCTCCACAGATTGTCCAAAATCTAACGTACACGCAGTCACTGCAAACTATGCGTCATTATGAATCACGGCACAGTCGAGGCTACCGCACTTACAAACAGGCACAAACGTACCGCACGCTATAGTGCTTTTCACATCCATCGGACCACCAGCTGGCTGACAGCTGTCTAAGCCAAAGTGAAGGGTAGATATTTTGACAGCATCATCTTTCTGATGTCTAGACTGAAACTATTAAATGCTGTGGCAGATGTATCTGTTTGACTGACATTGTGGAACATCCCTTGAATGCTCTGGATCCGGCGTCAGTGATTCATTTTAAAAAGTTATTTGTTTCCCTCGTTTACACTTGACCTTAACTGTGTTTTTGTCTTTCCTCTATTGTCATTGCCTCCTTTAATCACATTAGCTGTTGTAATTTGATTCTTTAACATATACGGTTTGAGGTAATCCGTTTATTTCTCCTGGTCGTCTTCAGACGCATCATTGCACTTTAGAAAATGCGGACGTTATACCTGTTGCTTTATCATAGGGGTAATTTTTTCTTAATATGTATTGAAAAACAATTGCAGTCCTTTCTTGTCTTCCCTCCATCAGAAGGACATGTGGGTTGTAACATATAAGGGTTTTCTTCTTCTTTTTTTCAGAGGTGTTTTGTGTATTTTTTTTGTCTGAGGTTGCTTTCCATTAATTTCATCACAAAGACTCATCCATCAGCTGTCAGTGCCTCTGAAGTCTGTTTTTTTTTGTTTGTTTGTTTTTTTGGGTTTTTGTTTTTCAGTCTTCATTTCCTGGTTTTCCACACGGAAGAGGTCCATGATGTGCTTCGGATCTGGGATGGGCCCCAGGATGGAGGTGTCCTGCTGAGGGAGCTAAGTGGCTCAGTGCTGCCCCAAGACGTCCACAGCACCTTTAACACTATCAACCTGCAGTTCACCACAGACTTCTTCACCAGCAAACAAGGCTTCGCTCTTCAGTTTTCTGGTGAGAGAGAGAGAGGGGGGGGGGAAGGATGATAGGAAGTGATGGGAAAGTTAAATGAACATGACTGGGTGGGACCAGTTTCAGCTCTCACACATTTCACTGCAGGAGATGACAATAATACCCTCTTTTCATCTTCTAATCGTGCGCCATTAAATACTCTTTCACTCACTGAGCCTTTCTTTGCTCCTTCAGTGTCTACTGCAACCTCCTGCAATGACCCAGGCATGCCTACTAATGGGACCCGCGGTGGCGACAGCAGGGAACCCGGAGACCATGTGGTGTTCCAGTGTGATCCGGGTTACATCCTGCAGGGGGCCAACAGGATCACCTGCACTGAAATCAATGGTCGCTTCTTCTGGCAGCCAGACCCTCCTACATGCACAGGTACTCTACAACATAACCCCATCCGTATTACGAAAGCCTGTATGGATGAGGATCACAGCTTTACTACTGCTGTGCAAGTGCTAAGACTGAGGCTCCTCGTATTTTATTATAGTCGTATTATTTCCTGCCGCCTGCCTAATACAGTCTACTGTATATCTCCTCTTACTGGCCTGACTTTTGTAGAACAGGTAGAGAATACAGATTCCTAACTCGATTACTTAACAGACTCCTTAAGTGAATCTTAAGTGGCAAACCTGATTGCCATGTTCCCTCGACATTTACTGAAGTCACTGCGGCAGACAGAGAGATCTGATTATCCTGTTCCTCAATAACAACACAGACCTCTCAGTCAGACCTACACTCTTTGTACAGTCTTTGTGTTAATATATTATCGCACGTGGTTCTCTGCTAAACAGTGTGAAGTCATTAACAATAGCAATTAAGAGCTTGTGATTAGCTGCCTTATTTAATTAGCGCTTAGCTTAATTAGATCATTTTTGGCGAACAATCGGACACTTCTGACACAGGTGAGAATGAGGTAAGAGAACATCTGTGTGCATTAGCTAGGTTTCAGTTAGATCAATCAACTGCTGCTCCAACGTCCTGTGGGGAAGCTGCACAGCACATGGAGTACGAGCTGAGGTTCTTACAGCTATGTAGCTGTGTTGTTTTAGGGCAATTTTTGACCAGTAAGTTTTTCGTTTGTTTTTCAAATTGATTTTCATTATAAGTTGTCACTTTGCTTGTGCAAAACATTAGAAAAATAAAAATTTAAAGTTAGCAGTTTGTCAGATTCCAAAGCGTAGGGACACTTGGTGATCAGACACAATCCCAACACTCACTGATAAGTATTTATTTTGAGAACAACAAACTCTTTTTGGCTATAATCAGCCATCAGCACAATCGCAGGGAAAAAAACATTATATAGATCCAGGCTATCAAAGTCCAAAAGGCTTAAAGAAGATTTACTGTTGAGTTGTTTCCTGCAGGCTATTTTAACTACTTAATAGGACTTCTGATTCATCCTTCTTCCAGCTTAAACATTGCATATTTTGCTCACTTATATAAACTCTTTTTGTTTGGCAGCATCATGTAGTTGTAATCTATATATAGTTTATTTGAGGTTCACTTGCAGTATACACCATACAATTGTGTGTCCTCTGTTTTGATCATATTTGTTGTTTATTTGTTTTTAACTGGGATGATGGAGGCTCATACTAGAAATGTGTTGGTCTTACCCAACAATAAATGCTAAGAAGAACACTTATCAGTGAGTTCTCAAACAAAATGAAACACACATCTATGCAATGAAAAATAAAAGATTCCAGCATCTTAAGATAAACTGAGATCAGCTCTGTTGTTTAATAGCAGTTCAGTTGCTGTCCAGATGCCACTGCTGTTTGCTCCTCGACTGCAGTGAACTGTAATAGATTTCTTCCTTGTCATAGCTCCATGTGGCGGGAACCTGACAGGTCCTAGTGGGCTGATTCTGTCTCCAGACTATCCTGAACCGTATCCTCACGGACGAGAGTGTGACTGGACAGTTACTGTCACACAGGACTATGTCATCTCTCTGACCTTCAACCAGTAAGCATTCAGTAGAAAAGAAAAAGGAAAAAATGTCAACGCATATGTTTTGACTTTTCAACAGAGGGGGGGATTTATGCTTCAGTTGATCTTTTAACCTTTTCCACTTTTCACATTTTATTTTCAAAGTCATCCTAGTAAAGCTATGTTACCTTACTCGCAGCCTATCTAAGCAGCAGTTATGTGATTATATTTTTAATGTTATTCTCTTTAACCAGGTTCAGCTTGGAGCCAAGTTATGACTTTTTGCACATCTATGATGGACCGGACTCCCTCAGCCCCTTGTTGGGTAGCTTTTATGGCACAGATGTTCCCGATCGCATTGAGAGCAGCTCCAACACGCTCTTCTTGGCTTTCCGCAGCGACGCCTCTCTCAGCAGCAATGGATTTGTGCTGCAGTACACAGGTACATGTCTTTTCTTAAAGCAATGCAGTATTTGGTTAATTGGATAAAAAACAGTGACGCTGGGAGAAAGAGTTTTTTTGTCTTTTTTGCATTTCCATTAGAATTAAAGTGTTCATTTTGGCTTCTTTTTTTCCACATCCAGCATCTTATAATTGTGAACAAAACAGCAGATTTCAAGAAGGTTGCGCAGCTTTATCCCCCGAACAGTTCACATTTTAAAATTCTTCCTCTGGCACAGAGAGAGTGCATTTACCCTCTGCTGCTTATCGACCTTGCAGATTGTTTCTTTTTAACTTTCCCTTCAGTGTAGTCCAGAGCGGATACGATTACCAGTGTGAAAACATTCTCCAGTGAAAGAATGGGTTGTCTGCGCTGCAGCATCCTGATCGCAACCTCCCTGTTTCTGCTATGGCCTGATTGGGTGTCATTATTAACGTGCGCCTCCTAGCAGGAATTCTGAAAACAAACAACTGTCGGCTCGTGATCAGTGCAGCTGCACTAAGGGCCTCTGATAGACTGGAGCAAACAGCATTTTGTTGTCTCATGTCTAAGCACGGTTGACCGCAGCACATTGTTCAGGGGACCCAAATGTATCTGTTCACGAGTGGTCACAGAGGGCCACTTGGTTTAAGGATTGTGTTGCACATCTGTTTGTTCTGCATTTTTGTTTCAGCCTTGTAGGGGACTACCTCACTTCCTAGCAAATACACAGATGCTGAGGAAGCTCTAAATTAGACACAGCATCTATGTTAGGGGCTTTGCTTGAGAGAGCAGTGTTAAATCTTCCTAAGTCTCCCTACCTCTATTAGAGTTGTTTAAGGTATCAGACACTTAACCAATTCCACATTGACCCCAAAGCTTCCCGTTTCTTGGCTCGCGCTCAGATAGGATTTGATGTACAAGCAGTCGACTGATTTGAGAACTCTACCTGTTTATGCGCCGCAGCCCTCCAACTCATTGGCAAACTGTCCTTAAATGAAGTGAGAAACAATGTTTCGGCAAGACAGCGTTACAGAGTCTACCCCTTAACTCACTCCCAGCAACATTCACTGCAGTGTGTGATATTGTATGGCCAATCTGGTAGAGCAGATGGACCCAGTGTGTGGCTTCGAAAAACTCCCTCGCCCCACTTCCAATTCTCCACACTAATGAACCATAACCAAATAATACATAAATTACCTCCTCGGTTTCAGACAAACAACATGGCACAAAAGCGCGTTTGGCTGCGAGTTCGGGTCTGGTTGGTGAGAAGACAGCACGTCGACGAGTTGGCCCGATCCGGCATTTGGTCAACCCGGCCCTGAAAATCATATTACAAAATGCGCCCGAGGTGCTGTCAGCCTCTTCACTGAGCAGTCTTTATGTCTTTCTGTTTTCTTGTCTCAGGCATCCTTTGATTAGGTCTTTTACGCTTTTCACATTGGCTCTCCAGGGAAATATGTGGACTCAAAGACTTTCCATACCTGAGCCACATTTAAATGTGGCTCAGGTATGGAACATGCACATTATTTCTCTAATCCAACACCTTCATCAAATCTTGGGCTCTCTTCCAATTTACCACTAAATGTCTCCTTTAAAAACACAACAATAAAATGGAAAAAACAGACGATGCGTTTCTCACATCTTCACTCACATCTGTAAATCAGGGTCAAGGCTTGTTAAATCAGCTCATTTTATTTACAGACCAGCTTGTGCCAAGGGCCAGCCCTTTCCTAATGCCTACTATATCTATCACAGCTCCGCTGTCTCTTTTCATGTCCATCATTTTTACCCTTCAGCCCCAAAAGCTTGGGGTATTTTTGTCGAGGGTGAGGGCAGGGTGTCCTAGCTGACATCTTTCTTATCGTTGAAAGATGTTTTCACCACCAATATATATATTTCTTTTCATGACATATCAAAACAAGGTTCATGGCTAAATAACCCTTGTTTAGAACAGGTAGTGGCAGTCAGCAGACATACCTGGCCCTAGCACTCTGTGATATCATTAGTTCCCCAACTTTCAGCTTAGAAATTCAACATTTATTTCCTGTGTGTCTAATTTTGTCATCAATGAATTAGAAATTTGATCTAATACACCATGTACTTCAAATCAAATCAAATTCAAATTCAAATTTTATTTGTCACATACACAGTCATACACAGTACGATATGCAGTGAAATGCTTATACAACTGCTCGTGACCTAAAGATAAAAGAAAAGGCTATGAATAAGATGGGAAATAAATATGAAAATTAAAAAGGGTAAATTTAACTAGGAAGGAATAAAATAAAATAAAATATAAAAATTAAAGTTAAAAATGAAATAACTGTACAACACAAATTAGAATGAAGGGTAAATTTAACTGGGAAAGAATAAGATAAAATATATAAATTAAAGTTGAAAATACAACAAAATACACAATATAGAAATATATAAGAATGTATGAAGAAATATAAATATATATATACACAATAACAGCAGCTGTACAAGTATTAAATGGAAATGAAGAAACTTTTTTAAAGTACTTGGTGTACAATGCGAAATATAAATCTTTAAGTGCAAGATGATATAAGGAGGCCAAAAGTTCTTAAAATATAAAGGTGTCATGCTTTGATTATTTTCAGTGAAGCAATAAAATACAAGAAGAATGTTACATTTTTGTCAGCTCTGGGACTCATTTTAATGTGGGTTAGTCTTTTTTTGTTGACCTCCCAGTGAACCTTTTTTAAGAAATGCTTCTGCTATATGAACATTGTTACAGTGTTCCCTGTTTAAAGTTTGCACTCAGCTAGCTCCTTTGACGCAGCTCAGGTTCTTGAACATATATTCTGTCAGACACTCAAGTGTCAGTTGAAATTTCCCTAATGAGAAAACAGTTGACTCACCTTCCTACGCTGGGTGTAAGTCATCAAATATTAAAGTTTGCTGGGAAAGTGGACTGGGTTTTAAGATTGAATTAAATTGCTTTGGGCATTTTTCCCCCCGTGTTTATTTTAGCAGTAAAGGTGTGAAGTGTGACAAATTGACAGGCCTCCACTCACGTGTACATTTTCCACCTGAGAACAATGCGATGGTAAATTGAGCAAGACATCTTTCTTATGATCTCAGAAGTGATGATTGATGTGTGTGGTCGGTTGCAGGTTTTGTGCAAGTGAAGTTTGGCAGGGTACGAGTGTAGGTGTGTGTGTGTCTTCGACAAAGAAAGCTTGCGTATGTGCATTGTCTTCTCTAGTTGACTGCACAGCGAAGCGTTGGTTGAGAGGCGGTTATGTGCAGTCAGCAGACCTTGGGCCAGAGCCATGCCACTCTCAATCAGCTGCCTGTCTTTCTCCACAGCCATACATACCCCAGCAGCCACAGATGAGAGGCCACCGTCAAGGGCTAGAGAGAAAAGTGGCAGTCAGTCAGTGAGATATATTTACTGACAGAGGAAAGCACAGAGTTGCAGGAAACGGTGGGGCGGGGGTGAAAGCAAACGCAGCCACAAAGGAGGAAGGGAAGTTCGAAATCCAAGTGTATCAGTAACCTTAGGCAGAAAACAGCTTCTGTTCCAGTATCACGGCTACAGCTGGATGCAGGGAAAAAAAAAATCCTTTCATGAAATAACAACGCCTGCTCACTTCTGTCACTGATTTTCCACTGCGTTACCTCTCTCTGCAGAGAACCCTAGGGAGTCTTGCTTTGAGCCCGGCCTGGTGCGCAATGGGACACGGGTGGGCACCAATCTCAAGCTGGGCTCCACCGTCACCTACCACTGCGACAGTGGCTACACACTAGAGGGAGACCCAACGCTCACTTGCATCATGGGGGTGGATGGCAAGCCGAGCTGGAACAAACCCAAACCCATCTGCATTGGTAAACACTGACATCTGGAGACGGTTGTTAGGAACACAAACCACATCAGCGCTTATAGATTTGTCACGTGTAAACATGTCTATACAATTAGGCTATTTTTCCCATAGAGCAGTGTCCTACAGGTGTATGTGCAAAGCTGTGTGGGTTTTGCTAACATTAATAGTTGTGCAAGTGCAGCTTTAATTTAAAGAGTGCTGCTTATTTTGCATATATTCTCCTCACGCTCACAGCGGAACTGCTCTCTGATATTCCCATGACACGACTAGCTCACTAGTTCACCCCCCGGGAGAGCTCGTGAAAGATCCCTGACACCACAGAATCGTATGGCCCTCACAGTGTGAAGCTTTAGTTGTATGCCAGGTGGAAGACGAGCTCATACCACGCAGATTTTCACACGTGGGGAAACAAGGGTTCAGGGTACAAGCGTGTGCTGAGCATTTTTTGGGGGGGTTTAACCAGTAGAAGCAATCCGGGTCTCAGCACGCCCAGGCTAACCCAGACGGACACTTAGAAAACATTGCAATTTCACTGTGACAATCACTGGGGACATCTTCCACTGAAAGCCCAATCAGACAAGAAAAGTAATTTAGGAGTGATGGAACAGAGGGGATGGAAAGGTAGGAGGAGGGGGGAGAGAAATGGAATCTTCCACTTCTGGCTGTAGACCTTCCTGTCATGTTTGCCTTGTCCTTTCCTTTTTTTTTTGGTCGTCTCTTTTTCATTTCTCATTTATGTCTTTTTGCAGCTCTATGTGGTGGACAGTACACTGGTTCAGAGGGAGTGGTCTTGTCTCCTGGTTACCCCGGTAACTACAGCAGCGCACGAACCTGTTTGTACTCTGTAGTCGTGCCCAAAGATTACGGTAAGCCAAGAAGTGAGAGCGTTCTTTTACACTCTTCCTGGCAGATGTTTTATTGTGTGTTTTTGTGCCGGTGTATAAAGGTGGTTAATTATTGGTGCTTAATTAAGATGAATTTTTTTCTGTAATGCCAAAAAATAATAATAATAATAATTCCTTATCAGGCTCAAACAATGCTCAAGTACCTCACTGAGTTATACATATTTTTCAAGGCTGAAGGCAAGAGAATAAAAAGAAAAACACTTGAGATTTTTTTCCCATAACTAAATATTTTTAGCGAAAGCTGCACCAGAGAGAGAAAGTTTGTGTCAAACTTGTAAAAGCTCCCATCCTCTTTCAGTCCTTACCAAATGTTTTTTATTTTTAAAATCACAGAGTGATTGATAGTCCCTATATTCATCGGTCTCATTGCTACACATACTTTTTTACATCACTGTGGAAGAGCAATTTAATCACCAGCTTATACACTAGTCATATAACACGTCAGTCAGAGGCACGCATCCACCGAAATATAATTAGATCCAGTGTTTCCGAAATTTTGCAGCTTTTTGGCATTTCCTTCTTAAAGGTCACAGTTTTCTTCCAATATGTGATGCCATACTGTAAGAGCGGGAATTTATTCAGAAAGCAAAGGGTGTGGGAAGAGGAACACAACACAGCACAAGCACGTATATTCAGATTTAAACATGTTTCACTTGCCTGCTCGGGATGCCGCTCCGTTTCACTTTCTATCTCGGGCGCTCTGTCTTGCTCTCCTTTTATCTCCTGCTTCCTCTTCTCTTCCCTCTGGCTCCTTAATGAGTTATCAGCACCATGCCTCTCGAGGGGCAAGCTCACGTCCTATCATTGTTAAATTACACCAAAAAAGCAGTGGCGGGCATGTGTTTGGCTTCTGGCTACTTCACCCCAGTCTTTTGAATATTGAGGTCATGACGCTCATTCAGAGGTCCGGCTCTGCTCCAAAACGACCGGGCACCTATCCTTCTTGGAACCTGTCGGCAGCGTATTTCGCTCGGCCGAATCAAAGCGAGAAAGGAAATTGAAATAATTAAAGTCCACATTTGCATTTTCTTGGAAAATGACAGCGAGGCCCAAGGCAACTCACTTTGTCGTGATGAGCCACAAATGCTCTCGCCTCCATTCTTGCCACTTCTCATTAGGCTGATGCACTAATGCTAATGATAGGCTATTTTCTTCAATGCAGAGGACAGGGTGGGTGTTGCCGCAATGACTGGGTTCTCTTATCAGAGACGCAGATGAAGAGGATGCACAAATAATGGGAATCGCTGAAGATGAGGCTGGAGATTATAGATGCTGAATCATGTCAAATAAGTGGATCTCAGAACATAAGGAACCACACTTTCACCTCTGCTCTTTTTTTACTCTCCACCTGCGATATGTGCTGCGAGTAAACGAGACAGATTGATTGTGGAGGGGCTGAATATGTTCAGGCAACAGCAGTGGAAAGGGTTGGTTGAAAGGATGAAAGCACTGTAGTGGAGATTTAGCTACACATTGTCATTGCAAAGCCTTTCATCTCCTGACAGGCAATCAAGGCCAGACAGGATTGCTGATCTCTATTGTAATATCAGGTTTTTTTGGCTGCGTTGTCATAACTGGCAGTATTATCTAGCTTGCTTTAAAGGAGAGTTTTTGATTACAAACGGTGTTGAAAATATTCTTTTGGATGATGAGTACTTTTATTTTGTTTTGTTTTTGAGTCATTTCTTCTCTGATGTCAATTTCATGACTGCGTCTGTTTTTCCTAGTGGTCTTCAGTCAGTTCGCCTTCTTCCAGACGGCCCTGAATGACATCGTGGAGGTTTACGATGGGGCAACGCAGCACTCCCGCGTTCTTAGCTCGCTCTCTGGAGCACACACAGGTACCCACACACGCACATTTCAGATGCCTGAATACGCGATTCTGATTTCAGCAGGTATCAAACTTGAGGGAGGCAAAAAATAGAAGCTATTTGCATGCAACTAGAGGTAGGCAAGACGTGACTCATGCACATTTGTATAGCTTTGTTTCATCTTCAGCACTAGCTCGTTCCAAATCAGTAACAGTGGTTTGACTATTTGAAGCCATTATTCTTGACATGACAGGGGACTGAATAAAATTGTTGTCTTAGACTTATCCTTCTCACAAGGATCCGTTTAAACTCAGAGACACAGTGCTGACGCAGACAGAACCGCGGTGGCTGCAGGTGGGCTCCACTGAGCTGTAACACAATTCAGCAGTGACAACAGGAGTCACAGGGATAACATATCTACAGACAGGCTCAAGCCTTGCATGAGCGTACACCTGAATTGGTATTACACAAATTATGTAGTTATGTAGGCAAACAAGTGCAGTGATCCACAAGGTGCCTGTTTATGCTATAACTTCTACTTTTTTAAACTAGTGGAACAACTGGATAGATACTTTTTTTTATATTAATTGTTACATGGAAAGATAAATAAGATAATATATTATGATATACAAAGAAATGGAAGCAGAGATTGTAAACACAGGGTCTTGCTGGGAGCTAAAGGATCTTTAAGGGTTTATGACGTCAGCCGCTAACAGCTTGCTATGTAAAGTAACGGTGTTGCACTCGTTCCATATATATTGCAATACGATGCCCTCACATGCCTGTGAGCACGTGTGAATGCTTCCCTTTAAAACTATTGCATATTTGCAATAGGTGGCCGGTAGAGAGTGACCTCACAAAAAAAAAGTAATAATTGTATTCCTGGAGCTCAACCTACCTAATGACATTAGCAATTACAGGAAAACCTTCAAGTTTCGTAATGATGTTATGATTCAAATACATTTAAACAAGCACTTTACCTTCACTTTTTTTGAGCTGATATCTGTCTCTTCCCATTACATTCATGAGTGGTGCTAAATAATCTTAAATTCAGTCATTTATTTGGCCGTGTCTGCAAAGCTAGACTTGCACAGTGTAGTTCTGCTCGTGCTTCTAAGCCACAGATGATGAGCTACGGCACGTAGATAGTACTGCTTTAACCAGACAATCCATGTTCGGTTTGTTTGGTAACTTAATTCCAGTTTTTGTTTTCTGTCATTAGGTCAGCGTCCAAACTTAAACTTAACCTATACTGTCATATTTGAATCAAGTGCGTGTTGCAGACAAATACAACACAGTGGTTCGTGTGTCACTAGTGTATAAAGAGCCCACTTGTGTAGCAGTGCTGAGTAGATGTCTACAGAAAGTGGAGCACACATACGCACACAACTCACTAAAAGAGAGTTATGAGAGTGGAATATGGTAAAAAAGGACAACAGTTTTAAGGTTAAAAGTTAAAAGGCAAAAAATAACTAAATGTGTGCTATATTATTTTTGATGAATGGATGTCATAAATACTACAACTGCACTGATAGGCTATAAAAGCAATGGCTGTAGTCGGGGAGGTTCGACCTCTGAAGAGGGTGTGAGTGAAAAGGTGCCGAGTTTAGGGCACCCCTCCGTCTCAGCCTGCCCTCGCCCTGTGGCTTGACAAAAGCAAAATGATTACTTTGGTTTGTGTCCAGGGCAGCCTCAGAAAATCCAGTTTACAGCTCAATAAACAGGATGCTATATTAACTACGGACTCGAGGCAGCAGGTTCGCAGAGCTATCTAACCAGGCATGGCAGAGCAAAGCTGACACACTTTGGCAAGGGAAGAGAGATTTTAGCCCACACGTTGCCACTGAATTAGGCACAAACCAGAATCATGTATCTCCATTCACCATACCAAAGCAGCAAAGCTTACAAATCTACTAACATTTACATCTGCAAGCGTACATCGCACGGAATTAGCTTCATTCTTTTTATTTATTTTTTTTCTGATGTATTTCACCTTATTTTCACCCACTTCCTGTCCTTGTTTTACATGGTTCTTATCAGGTCCACACTTACTTTAGCTGGTAGACTTTATTAATACCATTATTTGATCAGTTCTTGTTTCTACTCTGATTTAGATTGTGGAACTTTTGTCTCCTGTGTTTTCAGTTGAATCTGTTTTTCGTCACACATGCTGTCATGTCAAAATAATAGACATTATCAGTATGTACAGTACAGTTTGGGGTTTTTGGTTAATGGCAGGATGGCATTTGCCAAACATGTTAAATCACAGAAGTCAAAGCACGGAGCATTTTTCTGTAATTATGCAGACCTTGAAAAACAGATTCTCTACTAAATGATCTCAGTCAAGTATTCAGCTGTATGCTTTCATTCCTTTTATGCTTATTGAGGTAAAATACTTTCTCTACAGAGAAATGCCAGTGATTCGGAGTTATCAGAGGCAGTGGGGACAAACAGAATAAAATAAGAAGAAATGAAATTTGGAATAAATTAACAGTAAAAAAAGGTGTGAATTAGAAAAGAGAAGAACAAAATGACTGATTCAAGAAATCAAGGACACCTATCTAAATGCTAATTTTTTAATAATCGATTTGAAAAAAAGAAAAAAGGGAAGAAAATGGCAGTTGTCTCTCTCCTGGCCATATAGGACTAGAGTTTGCTAAAGTCCCCTTTCAGCTCACTGCAGAATAAACACAAAATGTAACTTAAGAATTAAAATTCACCACCTGATATCCGCACTTGACTAACTCTTTTTTTAAACTCTAAACCTGTTGTTTAGTTGTGATTTTTAACAACCAGAATTTTTCTCGCTGACGCTGTTTATCAGTGCACAGAAGTAACTAGCATTGAAATTCAGGCACTGATCCCAGCCAAAGTCAGACTTGACCTCGTTAGCCTTTCACATGTCAGTGCTGAAGATCATTTTAAGGACAAAGTGGTCGGGATGCTGGACAATGGCCAGAGAGCCAGTAAGTTACATGCTGACACGTGTTTGCTCTTACTGCACGGATACTTGCCCTGTGCAGCAAATTATGAAACACTGTCACCATGACAGCACACAGCAAGGGTTCCTCTAATAAACTAGCCAGCGTGCTCTGGGATCCAGCAGTGGAACCTGAACATTCACGGTGATGACTCATTAAGAAACTGTGCCGCTGGAGCTATCTCAGGACACTGCATTTAAAGGTGCAGAAGCTCTCAGAAAGCCTAAGAGCACAGAGCAGACTCACTGAGACTCACTAACACAGACACGCACACATCCACACACAGATGTTGCCTCTGAGGTTAAGCACGTCTGCCTCCCACTACAGTGTGACAGCAAGCAGACATAGAGTAATGAGATTCACAGCAGAACGCCAGTCAGCACCACACTGAGAGAAAGACAGAGAGGCAGAGACAGAGATGATCACGCTTTGTATCATGTTCTGTGTCAGTCAACAAATTTTACACCACACTGGATACATCATGGGGGTTCTCCTTTTGTGTAATTACAATATGGGCTAATGGGGATTGCAGGGGATCGTATGGGTAATTTTTAGGAATTAAAAAACAAAACAAAAACGTACTCTCAGGATTTGTTTCACAGTTAGATGTTTTTGACCTCAGTATAATCACATTTTATTTGACTAATGCTATCAGAGTAAAGAGTCTCGTAATGTGGCGAACCCCTTAAATTCTTAGTAAACTGTCCTTGCGTGTAGTTTAAAAATCAAATTTTATACCCAAAGAACAAAGAGCACTATCAAAAGGCCTGCTCACACCAATTACCCAAAGCAATTTAAGCTGTACAGTAAGACTTCCAGGAGCTTGATTGTGGAGAGCCTTAGGCAGCAGGTGAAAAATGCAACCTTGAATTTGATTCCGTAATTCGGAAACAGCCCGGGACAAAAAGTCACAGGAGGTCTGGTCACTGCAGCTGCTTCTCCAGCGCTTAAAAGTCATCTGACACCCCACCTTATAAATTATTGGGGAACTGAGGAACTCTTGAGAACTAAAAATTGGAATGTGAGTTGCCTTAGCCCAGCTGGAATAACACAAACAATTATCAAACCGGGAAAAACAAGAACATGATAGAGAGTGAGGCTCAAATGCTGATCAAATGCAGGTTTTACGCTTCGGGACATCACTTGGTATAGGCAGACTGCAGTCAGAGGCTCAGCTGCACCCTCACACAATGCTATCAGTGCCAATAAGCAAGATTACCATTTAGTCACAATGTACCTGACAGATATTTCTGGCTTTCCTACAGGTATGGAAGATAAACAGAGTACTCTGTGGCTGCAAAGTATTAAGCTAATCTGAATAATCAACATGCATTTGCATGCACCACAGATGGTGCAAAGCCTTCTATAAGCATGTTATATTTTCACCCCAGTGAGTTTTTCTGTGAAAGCGTAACATCACCGAGCACAGCTCTAGACCAAACAGCAAGATTTCACTTGGATGAGATACCTACGTGTTTTTTTTTCCTCTTTGCACTTTCCTGCAATGCAGTACATGAATAGCACTTCTAAATATATCCATATCCAGAGACCTACAGAATGTCCTCTTTCCCTCAGTCATTGCAGATTCCCTAGCTCTTGCATTTCTTTAATTTTCATGCTGGATGTGCAGAACGAGTTCCTAAAAATAGTCTCCAGGATTCACATTCAGGAGGGAGGAAATTAACAGAGCTGGTGATTCAGTGACCAGAAAGCAACACAAACGTAAACTGATGCAGAACAAAGCGTTTTGCTAAAAATTTGTTTGCTAAAAAACCTTGATCTTATCGCAGGTGAGTCGTTGCCATTAGCAACCTCCAACCAAATCCTGATCCGCTTTACCTCCAAAGGCCAATCCAGCTCTAGAGGATTCCATCTGGTCTATCAGGGTGAGTGTGCAACACACACACACACACACACGCACAATCACACACTCCGAAACAAATTCTGTTACCTTTTTTTTAATTCCCTCTCTTCGAACACCCCCCCTCCGTGTCCATATCAGATGACTTGCTGAGTGATTTTGCAAGGATTCACCTTCAGCCGCTGTCTCAGCCGTGATGTGCTCGAGCGCATGCATCTGCAGAAGCTGTGCGAAAAAGTTGTGCTTAAACTCTCCCGTTGTTCTTTTCCCCCCCAAGAGGGGCTTTTTTGAATTCTTATTTCCCTTAAACAGTGCACTGTACCAGAAATGACATTTGCTGTAGATATCCAAAGGCAGTGGCAGCCCCGAAGAATGTTTAATGAATAAATAATACTTTTTTTTTCTTTTTTTCTTTTCTTTTTGGCAAGTACGCTGAAACAACGCCAAGGAAAAAGCAGAGCTGAATATCATATTTTGTATTGTCTGTTCTGGGCATTGTGATCACACTGACATAGACACTAAAAAGAAATCACAAAATCAAGTAGTGAGATTTTTCTATTGTATATTAAATGTGTAGGTAGTTTACATTTAAAGAGTAGCTGCTATGCTCTTTTTTTTTTCCTGTCATGGTGAAATAATAAGTTTTAAATAATTAGCATGACGCCGTATGTGCAGGTAATCCATGTGAGTCAAAAGATAAAGTTTCATGGGTTGTAAATGCTTAGAAACAACAGACTTCTCCACCTTTGGCTCTGGATGATGTAAACAAAGGTGGAGATTCCTAATATGTTCATCTCAGGCACACAGTTGGTCATATGTTCTGTTTTTATTGAGGGAGCCAATCAGAAGACTCCTGGTTTAAAAGGCAAGGAACTAAAACTGCTTGAGCCCCTACTCAAATGTAAAGCATAGTAGGTCGGTATCTCTAACTCCAGGTTACGTAGAAGCACAGCAGCCTTTTACACATTATTTAATTTAAAGTATCCTGCATAATGACTCAAATCAAATCACATCACCATCCTACCTGTTCACAGCCGTGCCGCGGACCAGCGCCACCCAGTGCAGCTCAGTCCCCGAGCCCCGAAATGGCAGACGAATGGGTAACAACTTTGCCGTCGGCGCCGTGGTCCGCTTCGAGTGCAGCCCTGGTTACGTCCTGGAGGGATCGAGCGCTATCGAATGTTTAACCGTTCCCAATGCCCTGGCACAATGGAACAGCTCGATACCCAGCTGCATAGGTAGGACACGGATACTTAAAACACACAAAAACATACACACACTTGTTTTAAAGTCAGGCTGTAAGCTTTAACTCCACGTGTTTGATATCCTAATATAAGCATTTGTTTAACTGGACTCTAATCCTGAGCTGAGTTCTGCTTCTTTTTGTTTTCTTTCTACCTCAGTTTATTTGCCTTTTCACTCACTCTCTCCTTCTGTCTGGTTCACATACTTGATATTTTGAGCTTCAAGCTTCCATCTTGACACAGATGTGGGCTGCCAGCCATCGCCTGTAGCTATACAGTGAGATTCAGCCATGCAACGAGCAGGTGGCAGGCACTGCTCAGGGTCACAAATACACACCGATGGACATACACACACACACACAGATGCGCACACAGAAACCAACATGCTTATACGAAGACACACTCTCATACACAGCTTACAGCTGAAGCAGATGCTCCTGTGCTGTCGCCAGATGTGACTTGAACAAGACAAGCTGGGAGGACAATGTCTGAGGACTGTAAACACTCCTTAGGAGTTTGTGTGTGCAAGCACAAACCAGGCGGATCATGTACAGCATGTCGTCGTCGTGTACATTTTGATTCTGGTTCTGATATGAGCATGTTTATTACATGATCTGTTTCTCTTTGCATTTTGCACACTGTTAAAGTAACTTAGACCTTAACCTCATCCTCTTATCTCACAGTTCCATGTGGAGGTAATCTGACCCAGCGAACTGGCACCATCTTATCTCCTGGATTTCCTGAGCCCTACCTCAACAGCCTCAACTGTGTGTGGAAGATCACAGTTCCCGAAGGATCAGGAATCCAGGTTTGTACAATAAAGTTTCTGGTAGGCATCAGACCACCTCCTGGATGCTAGGATTGGTAAACCAGAGGCAGATTCACCAACGTTAGCAGTCAGTCCCCTAAATCCCTTTCCAATTCCACATGTTGCCCAAGGAAACCCCGCTCTGATTATATTTATGGAAAGTAAAGTCACATTTGAAAATATTTTACAACGGCATGTTATAGTTAGAGTTTGGCATCTATGCTGGGGTTCTGGGTTGGTGAAGGTTTTCTATAGGTTTCCTATAGACATAAAGGATATAAGTGTAAGACCACATTTGTTTTTCTGCCAACACATTAGCTTTCATTGTCTGAGCTACAGCAGCCTGTTCTTGAGCATGCAGAGTAATCTTTCTAAAACTGTCTCTGACCACTTTTTTAAAGCCATTCACAGTGGTTGTCCACCTCTAGCTTCTAGCCTTTATGATCCTTGTTGTTTTGACAACAGACCTCTGTGTGACGAGATGCTTTCAGCTTACCAAAGACCAATTAATGGTGCTGCACACAGTATATAAAGGTATTGCTTTTACAGGCCTCTCAGTTGTGGGGAGCTGTGAGGTGATAGTGTCTCTGGGCCTTTTTAAAGGCTCCGAATTTAATTTGGCAGATCACTATACCAGAACCTTCAGATTGTACAACCTGAAATAAATTTTCCTATAATCACCTCTTCAATTACTTTCCTTTTCCTTTCCCGGGAGTTAATTCAGTTTGCATATTCTTATTCCGCGATGCGTGCGTGATGGAATCTCATGGAACCTGGGCAAGGTCCCTGTGGATCTGCCTGGCAGAAAAGTTTTTAGGCTTATGCTTCAGCTTCTGTGCTTAATAACCTCAGTGGCGTCCCTCAGCTATTAGCTCCCCTACCTCAGCTGACTGTCCTTGCAGGTCAAATACACAACATGGCCCAAAGGCACACTTAGCATGCCACACTTCACGCCAGCATTTGTTTGGAGGGGAAGTAGACCAGAAATAACAGCAGAGAGCTGACACTGTGTAATCCTCCAAAAGGTAAACAGCACAAAACTTACATACGCATTTCTCACTTTGGAGGTACAGTCAAATGATAGTATGCCATCATTTTTCTTTGTAATATTTCTACAGAGAGAGACACATTTGCACATTTGCTACACGGTCACTGCAAACTTAAGAGAGTTTACGGCTCTGTATCTATGTCTCTGCAGCAGAATCCTGCCCCCCTGTTCCTTCTCTTTTATGCAGACATCTTTTTTCTTGTTGCCTTCCATTGCTCTCCTCCACCAGCTCCCCGAAACACATTAGATTGGAGTGTCACGATCTAGAAGAGAACTTAAAGGAGCGAGGTGCCTTGCTGGCACATTTGCTGTGGCCCCCTAATGAAAGATCAATCTGTGATCTGCCTCGTCTCTCTGGGAGCCCGGTGCACCAGCGCCCCTACAGCCCCCTTAATTGGCTCATATCCGATCTATAACCATCAGAAGCAGAGAAGACAGCAGAGGAATGGACGTGAGAGGGAACAAAAAAGGGGAGGATGGGAAGGAGAGTGGGGGGAAAAAGAAAGGACAACAAAGACTGAGGAAAACAAAATCCATTGTCAGTTTCATAGAATTTGGCATGTTTTACTGTTTTTTTTTTCTGTTTTAACAGCAAAATAAGTTTTGGTATCTAGACTGCTACTCTTATAGCATGTGGTATTTTGGTCTTCCTACTGGTCGCAACTGTCATTTGTAGATTTAGTCTCTTTGAAGAATATTCAGCATTCGCCACATGTCGCACAGTCTTCTTAATTTAAAATCCAATTCCCACCACTTGAACGCAGTCGGAAAAGGAGGCGAGTCTAATTAAGCATTGCCTTATTAATCGTGTCTTATTCTTTGGCTTTTCAGACATTTCGTGTCCTCTTTATGTATTTTGAAGTGAATTAAAAATGTCTGTATACTCTGAGAGGCTGTCGCAGCAATCTTAACTACTGTTGTTTTCTCTGGAACCCCAGTGAGCTGTACATAGAAATATCTTTTTTTCATACTTGGACTATTAATCACTCTGCAGGGTTATGTTTTTTCAGGCCTTACCCTAAAGGAAGAGTAGATATAACCAAATACCATGTTTTTAGTCCTTGACTTACAGTAACTAGCTTCACATACTTTCTTTCGTTCTAATTTTCTTGCCCATAATCCTCCCAGATCTGCTCCCTCATCCCTCTCTCTTTCTTTCCTTACTGTTTTTTTTGGTCTACATTTCACTAATTGTGTTCCTCTACCGCCCCCTCTTTCTCCCTGTCTGTTCCCTGCCTCAGATCCAGGTAATCAGCTTTGTGACAGAGCAGAACTGGGATTCGCTGGAGGTGTTTGACGGAGGCGACAACACTGACACCATGCTTGGCAGCTTCTCGGGTATTGCCGGATATGCATTTCTATATATCCCTTTATTTTCCTCAACGTGTCTAATGTGTGCAACCTTGGACATAAAACATATTTTGAAAACAGCCTCATTACTTTTCACAGAGCAGAGCCTGCAGTCTGGAAGAGATATTGTGTTTACTAACCAAAGCATAGATTTCTTTAGAAAAAAAAAGATGGCTGCCACATGTAGCTCAGTTTCAGTTCTAATCTGGTACAAATCTTGCTGCCTTTGGACAAAGGTTATGTTATTCTTTGTGGAGTTGAGGCAAATGTTTGTTTACAGTATCTTTGCGACTCCTGTCAGAGCGAGAATGCAACAACAGGGAACTTATACTTGGAACAAGACCAAAAGTAAATGTTAGATCTGCCCTGAAGTAAAGAGATGACAGAAAAGTGGCACACTAGTTTGAGTTGCTAATATCAGGTTACAGTTTTTTCTCTCTTTTGGAACAGTTTTTGGTTTTTATCATCTGAACACTTGCTAAAATATTGGAATAAATTCTCTACTTGTGAAAAAGTCAATGGGTCGTACCATTGTGCCGCTAACAGACGCGCTTTTCAGCTGTTTGCCTGCAACTCACGCATAGTTAGTTATAGTGAGCAGCTATAGAGGAGATAGCATTCCTGAACTCCACTGTTAATCTTCTCGCAAAGGCACGACGGTCCCAGCTCTGCTCAACAGCACCTCCAACCAACTCTACCTCCACTTTTTCTCTGATATCAGCGTGTCTGCAGCTGGATTCAGGCTGGAATACAAAAGTAAGTGGTGTGGGAAAAAAACATGTTCTTCAAACAGTGGTTGTTTCTTCTTAGAGTGACATTAAGGTTTATTTGATATTTTCTCTTGTTGTAATTTGATATTTCTTTTTGTTTCTCCCTCTCCATATTTTTGTTTCCATTCATCATCCACTTAGCCGTGTCTTTGACTAACTGTCCAGAGCCTGTAGTTCCTATGAATGGTATCAAGGTTGGAGAGCGCCTTCAGATGAATAACGTGGTGTCATTCCATTGTGAACCAGGATATACGCTACAGGTAAACTCTCCAACTTTCATATAGTTCTGTCATGTATGACCATCGAAAATAAGCTGAATCTCACCTTCGATAGTGTCTGTCTTGTCAGCCCTGCTTTTGTTCACTTGCTTGCTCATGCTGCAGTTTTTTGTTTTTTTTACGGCACAAGAAAAAGAGAAACAGAAGTTGAATAGATGGACTTGGTCTTCTGGCTATTTTAGTTCATTTCAATTTTTCTTGCAAGTGATCACTTTTATTCTCTATAGTCTGTTGCAAACTTGCAATAAGGTAGGCAGTACCCTGGCTTTGGCTTTAACAGGTGCCATGTATGGGTTCTGTATTATGTTCTGTAAAAGCCAGATGACTAACTTGGAAGTAAATCATGACCAATATAGGATTTTAAGACCTATACTGATGACTGACACTAGTGATTTAAAAAGCCAAGCTCTTCTTCTTCTTTATTTCAGAGACAAAACGGATTTCCCCAACGTGTATTATGTGTAATTGTGTATTTACCCATTTACGTTATATCTGACTCTTATTGGATCAGCTGGTTGTTGTGTTTTTGGCAAACGTGTATTGCCAAGAATAGTGGACAGTGTCAATTCAACTATTCAATATCACTTCTCATATCATGGTTCAAGTGATTTTCCTAGTTCTGCTTTCATCCACTGGCCATGATAAATGCTAGCAAATAAGTAGCCACAATAGCTAATATCAGCTGATGATGAAGAAAAATGGTACTAGATAGACTTAAAGTCAGAAACTTCACACAGACAAGAGTGAGACTTAAACACACAAATTCATAATCAGATTATTTAATAATGTGATATATTAAATGGCACTGAAATGTGTGGGACTTTGCAGTGTGCATGACATTGCGCACATTGTGATATACTGTCTGATTTGTGACGATAACATTAGCAGCGCTAGCATTATCAGTATTCCTTTGGTAAATAGAAACACGGTGGCGCAGAATATAATTACACACTGCTGTGGCCGAGTGTTATATTTCAGTTTCACTGACACAAATAGAACTGTTTTCTAGATGAAGAGCTGCCCTGATTAGCACAGCTGTCATCTGTCTTACCTTCTGCCTTCTTACCAACTTGCTGTCACAGAGACGGTGGTGCTGCCGCCAGCTAGGGCTGCAGACACATTTAGTCACAATTGGCTGCATAACACCTTACGACCAACAGTGAAGCTGTGTTGTACATTCATAAAATGTAAGTAATATCTATAAGCAAGAGTTACATTTCATTATGTAACTTACTAGTTTTGTAATTTTATACCTCTAAACTTCCCAATAAGCTTATAAGAAAGTTACCATCCAAATTCAAAGTAGGCATGTTGACAAGTGTCCTCGGTTTATTAGCTATAATATGAAGGCCGTGACGCTTGTGTGCTGAGAAATCAGAATTCTGTATTCCCTTCAAAAAAGTGCTCCTGAAGTCATCTGTCCTTCAGGAGACAGATGGTGACATCGGAGGAGAACACTGGGTACAGTAGTTCACACAAATTCTATTTGTACTCCATTGAGACTATGTGTCTCTGTCAGTTTTCACTCCTTGTTCTCACATTAAAATGCCAGGTTGGATTTACGTCACCCCTATTTTCTCACTGGTTGTGCTTAGCATTTTCCTTTCAGTAGACTTCATTCAGTAAGCTCGATTGGTCCGGTGGCAGTGACGTGTTTCCCTAAAATGACCAAATTTCCAAAAAGGTTTTGGGAACAAGGATTAACAATATTTTTTTGTGTGTGTTTATGTTTAGCATTGCTCATCAGATCACATTATTTTTATCACTGAGGTCTAATAAATAAATTGTACAGCATTTCTAATTAAATTTGTTTTGTAAATGCGTTCTCCTGTGTTAGTTCACTCTATCAGCTGGCAGACTGCTTTTCCTCTGCTTTTACACCAGACATACCGAGTCATGTCCTAACAAAGATATCCTGTATAGCTGTGACTGTGCATAAAACCTATCCCCAGCTTCAGGATTACTGTTCTTTCAATGCTGAACAAATACCTTCGTAATAAATGTTATAGCCACAGACTTCTGAGATTTTGTTCTAAAACATTGAACATTTGAAGACTTCTAATGGCCTGGCTGTCAGGGTTTGTCTGATTATAAACAGTCTATTTTGTCAGTCTGTTATGTTCCAACATGCACATGTGACATTTTTAAGCCATTTTCATGACAATTTTCTAAGAATTGCGTTAAGTGCTTTTAAATTTTCTGAAAAATGCCAGTTTTTCATATTTGGCTTTGTAGAAATGACTTTGAATTTTTCCGCACTCTTTCCCTGTCTTCTTCTCGCTCTGTATGATGCTCTTTATATGCCGCTATTGTTCTCTGTCACTTCAGATGGATTTAGTCTTTTAGGCACCACATGAAGTCATGCAGAGAAAAGCAGCAGGATCAAATAATTGGAGCAACAGATGAGTGACAGTGGAGCGAACAAGTTAATTCATTGCCTGCTCTTTTTTTCCCTGTACTTTTGTCTTTGTGCATGTGTGCATGGACGCTTCTCGCAGGGGAACTCGCACATCACTTGTATGCCTGGAACTGTCAGACGATGGAACTACCCACCTCCTCTCTGCATAGGTAAAAATGCCTTTCTTTACTTGCTCCTTGTGTCCTTGCCCCCTCCTGTTTCCTTCCTGTGTCTTTTCTAAATACCAGCTTTTTCCTTTTATTGGGGATCTTTCGCTTTAAAAGAACAGCAGCCAGGTGATTCAAAGTATTTGAAATGAATTACTTTATTATTAAACAGTATAGTGCAGATGACAAAGTTCCTCCCAAGGTTGTTCCCAATCAAAAATCATTAAAACAAGACAGCAAAAGAAAAGGTTATAGTCAGTTGTTTGTCTTTTTGCTTGAGGCTGTGCACGCTTTTGCACTTTTAAAGTGAATTTATATTGCTACCTTGAAAGCTGAGCGAACACGCTGAAAGTAACTGCAAAAGCTCCTCTCTTTAAGTGTTTCCTGTCTGTTAGAACACCTTGACAAAGTGGTTCCACTTATTGGAGCAACCTACTATACCCTAATTAGTTCCAACTCACACCATGATTGGTTGAAGTCGGTGGGAGATTCATCGTGTTTACAGGCATCAGCAGTTTCCTGATTACCTCAGGCTTTCACTGCTACAGGATTACATTTAACCCTTCACTTGTTCCTTGCAGAGACACAATGATACATCACCTTGATTTTCTCTGTTTGACACATAGCCTGTTTGTCCCATTCATTTCTTAATCTTCCCCCCTATGTTTGCCTGTTTCCCCCTCCCAACAGTGCCTCTTTCATTCTTTTTCATTGAGTCAGCTAATTCTTTTACCACTAGCTGCAGTACACTTTCATCTCGGCGACATGATCTCTTGCTCTTTTCATCCTCTTTGATCTCATCACCTTTTTCCTCTAATTATTTCCGTGCATTTTTTAATCTCTTTTGAGACTTAGTCCTTGATTTCAATCAAAGAAATGCTTTTATTGAATAAGCTGTTTAACATAAAAGGAGGAAGATGAAGAACAGCAAAGTATACCATACTTGGCACCGCTAAATCACATATCTTGTGATTAATAAAAGTATGAGGTGGCTGTAGAGTTCATTGGTGGTTGAGATACCTTGTCCAGTTGCTGTCATCTTTAGATGTTAAATGTTTAACACATTTATCAGTATTTTTTAAGTTTATTTTGATATCTTTAACATAAAATACATTGCATTTTATCGTTGCTAATAAGATCTGTAAATATTTTGACTGGAGTGAAAAAATTGTGGCTTTAAATTCATTTTCACCTCTGTTATGCTTCAGTAAAAGGATGGTCATCCTTTTTTTTTTTTTTTTTTTTTACATTTTGACAACTTTATTTATGATTTTCCAATATGAAAAAAGTGCAGAAAAATATAACTCAAATTGCGATTACAAATACTGCCCTTGTAAAACTGGTTGCGCCACGCAGTGGCAAACCAGTTAGATGCAGGAGAATGTGTAATCTATGGGCACAAAAAAGAAAGAAAAAAAAAAGTACTACCATGTGAACAAGGCAAAAAAACAAACAAACAAAAACAAAAAACAAAAGCCACCAAAAACAAAACAAACAAAAATAGAATAAAATAAACACATAAATAAAAGGGGGAGGCTGCATTGTGCACAGTTCTTTTTGGCTTGCTACAGATAGTGGGTGGCATTAAAGAAAGAAAGAGAAATAAACCCAAACACAGATAAAAGCAGTATTACATCATACTTCAGTAAATGACAACCAGGTTTTGTAGTATTTACTTTGGGACCCTCTCAAACTGTATCTCAAGTGCTCTATGTTCAAGCACCTCATCACCTCTCTCACCCACATCCTTTTTTATGAATCTGACGACTGAGCAGATCATTGTTTTGTAAAATAGTTGTAATGTGGCTGAATCACTTTTTTGCGGATGTTAATGAAATGCTTTGTCTGGACTCTGCCAGCTCAGTGTGGTGGAATTCGGGAAGAGATGGAGGGCATGATTCTCAGTCCCGGTTTCCCTGGCAACTACCCTAGCAACAGTGACTGCACCTGGAGAATCTACCTGCCAGTTGGTTACGGTGAGAGACATGAGAGGCTCTTGCAGCATGTCACGCTGGCATTTCTACACTAAAGAACCTTTAATTATGCAACTTGTAAGGCTGGACCGTGGAGTGACAGTGTTTATACATGTAGATTTATCGTGATAATGACAGTCGTGTCTGGAAGGCTCTCAAGAGGTAGTCTAAAATAAATGCAACTATCTGGAGCCTTAGACTAAAAATAGTGGATAAACATTTTTGGGGAAGTTGGCCTTGATTAAATTGTGTTTCAAATATTGCTGAAATGTGTAGCATTATACACATACAATGCTATATTAGTTATGCTAGGTGTGGCTAACACTAATGGAGCTAGCACCATTAGCCCTTCTTTTAAGCGTGCTAGCTTCCAGAATGTTACACAGCCTAAATACGACTATTCTTTTCTACATGAAGGTATAATAGAACTGCATTGGTTCATACAGCTGTCATGACAACTTCTCAGGAATAATCCGCACTCATATTTCTGGTGGGGATAAGTGAGGGCAGCATTTAGCTACTCGCACAAAATAGGGGTGCTCTCATACTTTTTTTAAGTAAGTATAAGAGCACCACAATCTACTTTACCACATTTACCTTTTTTATTTCATGGATGAAATGTGCAACAGCAGTCTGGCAGCAGCCACCTGACAGCAGTCACCTTAACAAGCTGCTTCCTATTCACTCAAGTAGGTTTCTGATGTGACTAAGCTACAATACAAATCCTTGAGTACCAGCATGCGTAAATCAGCTCCCCTGTAAAAACAAAAATAAAGGACATTCAGTGTCATTTCATTTTTGGCATTTTTTTTTTTTTTAGGATTTTTGTTTATTTCTGGAATAATTGTAAACAATTGTTTTCGCCTCGTCCATTCACTCTTGTCAATTGAGTGCTACGGCTGAATTGCAACCATTTTCTGCACATAATAAGAAGCGGAATGACTCGCCTACTTTAACTTTGATAGTATTTTTGGGAGAACAATGCAATTTTGTTTTTTAATGGCCATTATCTATTTCTTATAAACAGGAGCCCACATACAGTTCCTCAACTTTTCCACTGAAGCCAACCACGACTTCCTCGAGATACGCAATGGGCCCTTGGAAACAAGTGCTGTCATTGGCAGATTCAGCGGCCAGGATGTTCCCTCTTCCCTTCTCACCACCTCTCACGAGACCACAATTTATTTCCATAGTGACCATTCGCAGAACAAGCCTGGCTTCAGGTTTGAGTACCAGGGTAGGTATCCAAATGGCCTTTTAAAAGATCGGGAGACTAAAGGTGGGATATAATCTGAACTTTTGGATTATGTCTGAGAAAGCAGACTTATTATATGCTTTTAATACTAAAAATAACAACCAAAAAATTTTACCCATTGCAGAGCTGGGCCAGTATCAATATTTAGAGCTACTTTGTTCTGCACACGTTACTCCAGCACCTGTGGCACTTTTAGGCTGCTTCAGTCCATTTTTCCTGTTACTGAAATGTGATTCAGCAGAGGAGTGCCGAATGCACGTATCAGAACTAATGCAGAATATCAGAGCTTTTTTGCGTGAATTGAAGCAATTCCAAAATCAGTATAAGAGTGAAAGCCACAGTGATGAATTTCATCTTGCGGAAGGAAACGAATCAATCATTATCTTCAGGAGTGTTTACTTTTATTTCAGCAAGTACACTTAAGTACTATTAGTGTCGCTTCAGTGTGAAATTTATTCATGTAAAGCCATAACATTACTGAATTAGTGCTATAACTGACTCTGAAGAACTAATCAGCGCAGAGAGGCAGCGAATTCCCCGGATAAATAGCTGTATATAAAACTGCTGATCACTTCAAAGATTGCTTTAGCATGTGCCAATAAAAGGCTTCATTGCATATCTGCACGTCTGCAAGGAATAAATTCCCCCGGTCCGCAAATGCAACAGGCACACTAAGTTTGTGTTTTGTGATTCAGCAAACGAGCCAGCAAATCGAAAGGTAGCATTGTGCATTTACATAATTATGTGTACATTAGCATATAAATTCAAGCATTATATTTGCAAATACCAGCCCTCCCCTCCCCTTTTTTGCAATATTTGCATGAGTTATCTCCTACAAAGAGAAGCTGTGATCCATAGAAATCAATTCCTTTAGTCATATTTATATTCGTGCTTTTCAAGGCTCACTGCTTGCCCTGGTTTTGTATCCAAAAGGAAAAAAAAATAGGAATAAGAAAAGTAAGAATTATTTACCCACGCTACCTCTGATGACTGCATCATACTCCTCTGGTACAAGTCAAACCTGCCTTAGGCATTTTTTTTTCCCTCCTCTGAAAACTCCTGTCTAAGAAGGCGGAGGGGGATGAGGAGGAGTGAGTGGGAGGTTGTGCCTAAGGAACAACAGACACATGATGAAGGGGAATTGAAAGTGGGAAATAAAAATAGAGGATCCTCCGCTATAACAGTGTTGTTGTCTGGAAGCTGAGTATTCACACATTAAGGCAAGTCGTTAGTGGTTTGAAAGCTACTGTTAGCTAACTTCAGACAGTAAGAGAAAAACTATTTGAACATCCATGCGGGTAGCGTTCACAACCACAGCAATCATCAGAACAGTGAGCCTTTAGGAAACGTACTTTCCTGATCGACTTTGTTGATGTGAAAATAATATGATTCTCTGTTTAAGTTTCATAGCTGTATGAATGTATCTAGCTTTAATCGCAAATTTCTCTTCTTTTTCCCTTAGCTTATGAGCTACAGGAGTGCCCAGATCCAGAGCCTTTTCGCTACGGGGTGGTGGTGGGTGCTGGCTACAACGTGGGCCAGTCTATTTCCTTCGAGTGTCTGCCCGGGTATCAGCTGACGGGACATTCCATCCTCACCTGTGAGCACGGCACCACCCGCAACTGGGATCACCCTTTCCCTCGCTGTGAAGGTAAGTGATGCGAGCAAACAAGAGGACAGCTGTGCGCAGAACTAAACGAATAAAAAGATAACTTGCTTTTAAAACTGTAACGTATTGAACTATTACATCATTAGAGCAAAGTGTGGCCATGGAGATAATAATTATCTATTATGAATAATGTAATTAAACTGAATTATTATCCCCTATTAATGAAGCAAAGCACTCCTCAGCGAAAAATCAATACCGCGCTAAAGAGAAGCGGAGACAAATAAAAGATGAATAAAAGAGAGGCTCTATTGAAAGGAAAAGTAATGGATGCTGTTCTTTCGCCTCGTCCTTGACCCACATTCTTGCGTCGATTATTCAATAAGGCCAGCAAAATTACGGAGAGAGGTGATGGCCGTGACACTGGAACTTTGAATGGGCGAGCAGGGAGATAAATGGGAGTGAAAGGAGGAGCAACCGAGTGAAAAGGCACCGGGAACGGGAGATAGAGTTTATTCTCGCACTCGTGCTATTTTCTTGTATGTGGGCTTTTTCATGAGTCACGTCCAGTTTGAAGCTGAAAGATTATTTCCAGGGACCTGAAAGAAAATTATACTTGCATGTGTGTGCGATATGCTTCTTGTAGTATAATAGAATTCTTATTCTAATTATGTTAATGGGAAGAATTAGTATTGTTATTATTCAAATACTATTGCATTGTCCTATGATATCAGTACTTAGTATAAATGAACTGTTTATTTTTGTAATACTGATAGATAAAGCATTTAATATGCTTCATTTCATTCTGGCTTAATGCAGTATTTTCACTAATGAATACTACCCATTAAAATGCATATATGTAGTAATCTGTATGCATCCATGCACTCAGTATTTTGTGTATTCATGTGTACTCAAAGTGGGCATATGCTTGTATGTGAAGATATGTGTTTGAATAAGTCCTGACTGTTGCCGTATTTCACTTTTGCCCTGATGCTGTGGCCTGGTTTGTGGTCTGATGAAGAGGTTAGAGATACCTCTGTTTAATGGCATAAATGCACCTGTGAACTGAACCACACTAATGCCCAAATAACATTCGGTTTAATGCTAAAACAGCAAGAGTTCAGCTATTAAAGCTGCAGACAGGTCATTCTAAAACACAGGGTTTGATAAGGAATGCTTCCCGTAGTCCCTGTTTGCTTCACATAAAGTGACAATAAAATAATAGAGCAATAAGCTTTTCCGTCTCAGGGTTGTGCGCAAACATGCAGATTGTGGTTTCCGTGTGTCTTTGACCGTGCGCGTGTTCTGCTCTTGTTGAATTTGTTGAACAAACACACGAGTGAGCGAAGAGAAGCCCATGTTTTATAACCACTTCAATAATTGCAGGCTATTTATAGCATACTTGTGTAGTGCATACTTGTCGTGCAGACTCTGGATAACTGTCAGATGAAAACCCATCAGATGCAGAATCAATCCAGGACGAATCACTCAGTCCTGAAACCCCCAGACTACCAGACTCGTCTTCAGGGAGCGCATAGAGCAAATCCAATTCTGATTTATGTCCATAACTCTGTTCTTTCTCCCGTCCATGCTGAAGGTTAGCTCGGTATGCGTGGCAGTAGAGGCATAGCATATTGAAAATTAATAACACGTAAAAAATACTCTTCTCAATGGGTATAAATGTTACCATTTAAATTTGACTTCTTTTTGTTATTTTGCCTGCACTAGCCCACTTTGCATTATTATCATGTCTCAGAACTAGATATTAACTAGATATTTGTGCTCTTGTTTGGTCTCTTTGTACTTTTTATTTAGATTGTTTTTTTATTTTTATATGGTTACAATAAATAAAATAAATTCTATTAAAATGATATATGTATATCAAATACTTGAGAAAAACACCTTTTTCAGTTTAACCCTTTTGTCTATGAAAAAAATTAAGTCTGCAAAATAGAAAAAAGGACTTCTGTTATTAGCATCTCTATTAGTACCACACTAGATCGTTATTATAACCATAAAGCACTTAGTAATCCTTTATTTCAGTTTCTATAACTGTTCCATAACTACCCATTCTTCATTAATAGCAAATAGCACTGAAATAAGCTCAAACACAAGGCTGCTATTGCTACTAGGCAACAAGTTACTCTAGATTAAATATAGCTTATTCTGGTCTTATTTATAACTGACCAGTAGTTTGACACTTATTAACCCACACATGTAGATGGATATAGAATAAATATAAATATAAATAAGGTTTTATTATGAACATGTTACAATAGTGCAAAAACGACAGAAAAATATAAACAAAACAATAATCCTATTAAATTTATTCAATAGGCAAGGCAAGTTTATTTATATAGCACAATTCAACACAATTCAACAACAAGGTGTGTCACAGTCTGGCGAGGGCAGACTGTATGAATTGAAAAAGGACCCAAAACGCAGACGCCAAGGAACAGGGAACAGAACTTGAAATGTTAACAAAAGGCGAGCCGTTTAATAAGGCTAGTAGAAGAGGTACAAACAAAGGGCAAGGCAAACTGAAGCAAAATTAACACAAACCTAAACTGGGGAATCTAAACAAGCAATAAGAAAAACCTAGGCAAGAAACTTGGAAGCATGGCATGGGAAACATGGCGTGGACAACAGACGACCTGACAATCACACACTGAAAACAGAGGACTTAAATACACAGGAGGTGATTAGGGGAAGTGGAGACACATGAGGAAACAGCTGGCACACATGAACATAATGACGTCACAGTGGGAGCGTAAAACTGAACATGATGAACACAGAACACCAGACCTCTTCACAATAAAACAGGAAACATAATGAGACATAGACATGACAACCCGAACTTGACAACGTAAGACACAGACATGAAACGCATGAAGAGCAGGGGAGATTTAACATGGTTGGAAACACGAGGGGAAAATAATAACTAGAAACACTTAGGCATAATAATACAAACTTGATAACAAATAAACTTAGGAAACCTGATAAGCTTAAACATACACTATGAACATCAAAAGAACTGAAACTCAAAACACTAGGTCATAAGACCCAGGACCGTGACAGAGCCCCCCCTTCAAGGGCGGATTCCAGACGCCCGAAACCATGAAAAACAAAAACAACCCACCAAGGGCAGGCGGCGGGGGTCCAGGACGGAGGGCCTGGAACAAAGCCACAAAAACAAAACGTCCATCAAAAGCACAGGAGTACAGGGAACAGTTCATAACTCCTCAGGGGGCCGACCCGGAGGGCGACGGCACAGGAGTCCATAGTCCAAAGGTTCAGGGGGCCGGCCATGTGGAAGGTGGCAGTGGCGAAGCAAGCATGGCTGGCCACACTCGGGTGGCTTGGCCCGTGGCCGGCGGCGACGTGGACAAGACCCGTCGGGTGGCTTGGCTGGCGGCCGGCGGTAGTGTGGACGTGGACGTGACCCGTCGGGTGGCTTGGCTGGCGGGACGAGCAGAGGCGTGGCGTCGACCACAGGCTGGGTCGTGGCGGGCGAGACGAGCACAGGCGTGGCGTCGACCACTGGCTGGGTCGTGGCAGGACCAGGCGAGGCAGGACCAGATAATGGCGCTGCAGGCGATGGCGTGGAGAGATGCTGGACTGGCTTGGCTGAACTTCCAGCTGGCGCAACAGGACCAGGCGAGGCAGAAGCAGAGGCTGAAGGCCCTGAGGCTGGACCAGACGAGGCTGAAGGCTCTGACGAAGCTGGACCAGACGAGGCTGAAGGCTCTGACGAAGCTGGACCAGGTGACGACGAGGCGGCCGCAGGTGGCGGCTGAACGGTCCCCTCGGACCCTCCAGCTGACGAGGCATGAGGCTGGACGGGCTCCTCGGGCCCTCCAGCTGACGAGGCAGGTTGCTTTTCAAGTTGCAGCAACACACAGTCTATAGTGGGTGAAATGAGTTCGTATGAGTTCTCAGACTGAGGTGTGGCAGAACCAGGTGAGGCGTCGTCCTCAGGCTGAGGCGTAGAAGCAGCAAGCAGTAGCGCAGCAGGTGGTGGTCCTGCAGGCGGCGGCACGGGAGCCGCAGGAGGTGGCGCTGCAGCCACAGGTGGTGAAGCAGAAGGTGGCCAGACGGGCTCCTCAGGCCCTCCAGCTGACGAAGCAGAAGGTGGCCAGACGGGCTCCTCAGGCCCTCCAGCTGACGAAGCGTGAGGCTGAACGGGCTCCTCGGCCCGCCAGCTGACGAAGCGTGAGGCTGAACGGGCTCCTCGGGCCCGCCAGCTGACGAAGCGTGAGGCTGAACGGGCTCCTCGGGCCCGCCAGCTGACGAAGCGTGAGGCTGGACGGGCTCCTCGGGCCCGCCAGCTGACGAAGCGTGAGGCTGGACGGGCTCCTCGGGCCCGCCAGCTGACGAAGCGTGAGGCTGGACGGGCTCCTCGGGCCCCCCAGCCGACGCGGCATGGTGCTGGACGGGCTCCTCGGGCCCTCCAGCAGACACAGGAAAAGGCTGCACAAACTCCAACTTAGCCCCTGGCTCCAACCTGGCCTGGATCTCGGTCCCACAGTAGCTTAGCTGAGCCTCATGGCTAGCACTTCCAGTGCAAACAGTCTTATAATTTGGCTTCTTGGAAGCAAAGTTCATAGCATGATCAATACACTGGGATGCTAGGTAATTGTGCAGAGGGATAAGATATTCCGTGGAAGACTTGGCTGGTGATTTTTCAGTCTTAGTCATTTCATAAACATGCCCATGAACCTTTAAGGCAGTGTTTGTTCCAATATTGTCCTTAGAAAAAACGCGTGGATTCAGAATACAATCACCCACCTCATGTTGCTGTGAGCCGTGGTGACGACCTGGACGCCGCCTCCTCCTGGAAGCCGTGGTCGTGGAGGCCGGCGCCGCTACGGCTGAGATGAATGTAGCGCTGGAAGCAGCCACCGGTTGAGGTGAGGAAAACGCAGCACTTGTCTGCTGCAGTGGCGACATGGACATGGAGACAGGCGGGAGACTCAACACGCCAACTTTAGCTCCTATAGCTGGCATAGGGAGGGCTGCGTCACAGAGGGGCTGGAGTAATTCAG